ATGATGATGCTGATGATGATGATGATGCTGATGATGATGATGATGATGATGATGATGATGATGATGATGATGATGATGATGATGATGATGATGATGATGATGATGATGATGATGATGACTAGCATATTTAAACGTGCATTCCGATTTTTGAGTGAAGAACGTATCCTAAAGAGCGTATCCTGTGAGAGCTAGAAAGACCATCTCATTGTATGCTCAATGCTCACAGCGGGTGGACATGGGCAGATTACCCAATGCTTGTCACAGATGGAAAGAGTCAGAGACGGATAATATGATGCCAGAATCGTCTTCGCAAGGGTTTGTATTTCGTGGCTGTTGTTGTGTAGTAAGCACGAGTGACTTTGCCAAAAATATCAATTGAACAGCATTAAATATTGCTGCCGTTTGACTCACTTTCACATTTATTGCCTCGTATTGCCGTCTCGCCAAACTTAGGGTTATAATACACACATTACAATATTACACCAGTACACACGACACCCACACAGCCAATAAAAGCAGTGGTCCCTTCACGCCCAGCACAGCACTGCAATACAATGCATTTGTAACATAATCCTTGTCAGAAGGCACTCGGTGGATTGACCAGCGGAATGTAGCACGCGTTAGTTACCCCGTCATCGCCCCCCAAATGATAAAGACCCGTCCGTGTAATGCCCACCACGAGGTGACACGTGAAGAGACGGTGCCAGCCATCTGGCCAAGCTCCTTCGTTGTGCTCGACCGGTCTTCCCGTTTGCATCCCTCAGAGATCACCGCATTGATGTGCGCCTACTTGGCCAGCAGCGCGTAGAATAATCCATACACGGATATGATCATGACGAACAGGCCAAACACCATCGTGAAAATATCCTGCAACACACAATATGGCAAGGGTCAACGACACATGTAGGCATTTAAACATTGGCGTAGCTAATTTACCTAGGGCTGGTATGACCCGATCACAAGCCATATGGTTTCGCATGGTATGAATGCCTTTGGAATCCTCAAGTTACATCGGAGCCCCCCCCCCCCAAAAAAGAAAGTGACGCTTGTGCCGCCCTCGCTGTATCGGTCTGGCTGTCGAACCAACTGGACAGCCGGCCAAGGCAGCTCCAGTACGAGCATGTCCCCCTCAAAGGTAACCAGTTGAGCGGCTGGGTGCCCCCCCCCCCCGACGGTCATGCTAAAATGCACATCATACTTTATGCATAGATACCTTGTAGTTTTCGGCAGCGTTTTCCTTCTTTTGGTGAGTTAACTTCGCACGTTTAATATCTTCCCGGGCATTCTTGGAGTTTTGCCTTCCTGAAAAGGTAAATGACAGTGACTATTCGCGGATTCTTCGGGCGGATTCGGTCTCGGATTATTACCTACTCGGATTAGAGTGAACCAATAAAAAAGAAATAAACAAAAAATAAAAAAACGGCAGTGGCACCTGCCCTAACACTCGGTTGTCGAATGAAAAAGGTCGGTCCGGTGGCTAATCGTCTGTCAATCTCGCCTTAATCCTCGCCGAACCTATTGGTTTTCTACATACGCGCCGGCCGAGGGCGGGGGGGGGGGGGGCGGATACGACCCCCCCTCGCCGTTTCGCCCCTGGTGGAGCTAGCGCGTCGCGGAAAAAACGAGCGTATGTGCCATTACCAGACGCAGAGATTGGTACCCGATTTTAAGGTCCTAGGTCAACCGGTGACCTCTGAGATCAGGTCAAGTGCCCCAAGGTAAGGGTCAGTTTTTGGTGTATAACTTCGCACAAAACGGCCGCAGAGCCGCGATTTTGGCAGCATCGTGTTCGCCTCGCTCAGGCGCGTCGAACGATATGCTTTTTGTTTAGGTCAGGTCAACTTAGGGTGTTGACCTCAGGTCACGGTCAGGTCAGCGCCCCCAGGTCACGAAGTTGGTCGAAAGAGGTCATGTCGCATATCATTCGATTCGACAGGTCTTCCTGAGTCCATTGGTGGCTTTCCTGACTCGCTAGCTCAATTTTATCGGGAGTTATATACGAAAAACTAATATGACCTTGATGACGTCATAAATGGCGTCACGCAAGGTCAACATTAAGTGACGCATGGATCCTTGCAAGGAGTGCATCAAATCACGATTTTGTGTGCTTGAGATAGTTGGAGATCGTTTCCGGCGCCAGAATAGCAGTTTTTATTTTTCCCCATTGACTTATAATGGTGAGGTCACGAAAATGACGTGACCTCATATGACCTTTAGGAAAAATCCGAGATATACAAGTTGTAACACTCGTAATGGATACTAGATCATGCAAGTTTCATTTCCCTGTGAAAGCTCCTCTGGCAGTGGGGGCGTTGCGAAGTTGCAACATCTGAAGATCGTGCAGAGGTTCATTTATGACGTCATAACTCATAGGTCAGTGACCTGACCTGACCCGAAAATGCGGTTGGTGTCAAAGACTCAAAAGATTCGGCTTGACTCAAAGGTCAGGTATGCCAAGTTTCAGCTCTCTATCGCCAGCGTGTTCGGAGCTATCGCGAAAAAAAAATCCTATGGGTGGGGGGCACCCGCCCTCCCCTCGGCCGGCGAGGGTTAAAGTGGGTGCGTATTATTCATAGGCCAGGGTTCATAATGTCCAGGGTATGATTTGTCCAGTGCTCCGAATGACCACTGCCTTAAATTGGCCAGTGTTCATTGAAACAACCATTCCAGTGGATGCTTGTCCGCTTGGGCTACATTTTATTCTCGTTGACCTTGACCCTTATGCTTTACCTTAGAGATCAAACCCCAGGTCAAAGGACGGGGTACCCATAACGTCCCGAATTATTGCCCTGAGAGGACCAAAAGTGGTCATACATGATAGCTCGTCACCGTGGGCAGCCTCCGTGACCATGACCTTGACCTTGGCCAAGGTCAGCGTAGCGGAGGCTAACCAACGAGGCTAGCCTCCGAACCGTTTGGGACCGTTTTGGCCCACTCCATCAATAAATTCGGGACTTTATCCGGTACCCCGTCGTTTGACCTCAAATTTGACCTTGGAGGTCAAGGTTCAAGGTCAAGGTCATGGTCACGGAGGCTGACCACGGTGACGAGCTATCATGTATGACCACTTTCGGTCCTCTTGGGGCAATAACTCGGGACGTTATTGGGTAACTCGTCCTTTGACCTGGAGTTTGATCTCTAAGGTCAAGCATTAGGGTCAAGGTCAAGGAGAATAAAATGTAGCCCCAGCGGACAAGCATCCACTGGAATGGTTGTTTGAGACGTGGCAGATCAACTTCTTCACATTTCGCCGTATTCCTTCTTTGGAAATGATACCTACCTTTGACCTTGTATTTGACCTTGAAGATCAAGGGCTAGAGCCAAGGTCAGGGTAGCGGAGGCTAGCCAACGAGGCTGGCCGTCGTTTGGTACCGTTTTTAGCCCGCTTCTTCCATAAATTCGGGACGTTATCCGGTACCCCGTTGTTTGAACTCAAATTTGACCTTGAAGTAAAAGTTCAAAGTCAAGGTCATGGTCACGGAGGCTGCCCACGGTGACGAGCTATCATGTATGACCACTTTCGGTCCTATCGGGACGTTTTTGGGCACCCCGTTCTTTGACTTCAAATCTGACCTTGAAGATGGCCTCACAAAAATGTGTTTTATGTCATTTTTTTGGAATCAGCGTGTCCTACTTGACCTGGTAACGAGTTTTCAGCGAATTCTGAATCCGACGCTGAATCCGTCGCTGAATACGTCGCTATCTTCACGCACGTGAAAAAGTCCCGGTAGGATTCGACTTTGTAGAATGTAGGACGAGCGTCGCTAGCTCGCTGACAATGGGGCGTTGGGGCCCGAGTGGCCCGAGTCCTGAACTCACATCTTGCTTCCAGGAACTAATCCCGCACGTCGATAGAAAACACGTTACAAGCATCGATACTTCGATCGTGACGTCATATATGGTAGCACACTGACCTTGAGTTTCATTTTGGGGTATCTTGAGCAGTATAAACATACCTACGTGCTAAACGCCCATAAAGGAGATGATTAATCCAGCAGTATTTCTTTTTCAGGTGGTTGTTAGATCCAGGGTAAACATTGCATTGCACAACAGTGGTTGACCTTGGGGGCAAGTGCTTGGCATTTATTCACTTCCCCTCTCTCCCAGTTTCTGGGGCCTGTTACAGTGAGCCTGGCCAAAGTGGCTGAATGACTGGCTGAATGAGTGACGAGTGTCGCCTTAAATTACGTCCGAAACCTACCTATTTGCTTCCTGTAGGTGTCGATCGGCGTGAAGTGCGCGCGGCCACCTCCGCTCCCCGAAGAATCATTCCTGTTTCTGCCCATTTCATTTGATTACAACCTGGAATGGTCTTCAAACTGCTATCCACTGCCCACTCGAACCCTCTGTTAGCAAGAAACAAAGCAAGGTTACTCCAGCCTCGTACTGTCGGTCTTGTTTACAGCGTCGTACGATTAGCAATTTCGCCCTAGGCTGTTGAGGTATGGTTTAGTTCGCTCAGTGACGTCACATCTGGCAGCAGGCCTTTTAGCGCAGTCGATTAGGGCGTCCGGCTTCGGTGCAAAAGGGCCCGGGTTCGAATCCCGGCTAGGTTTTCCACTCGCGAGCACGAGTACTGATTACTTTAGCGCGGTCTGTGGATCGTGGGAAACTACCTAATCATACTGATTGGTGATAGTATTCTAGGCCGCTTTTGTGACGGCGGTTAAGAGTGTAAACCGCTTAGTGTCGCGTTTGGCACCTACGCGTAGGTAGGTGCCTACGCGTAGGTAGCTACGCGACCCTAGCTACGGTCGACTTTGGACCTGCTCTGCTACCTCCCGTCAACACGATCCCGGCATATCGTAAGTCGTAGCATGCAATAGTTACACAATAAAAAATTATATCGCGTTATACCAGCCCGGCATCGTAAGCACATTCTTGTAGGACGTCACACCCGTACCTTCGTATTATATTCGTTACATTAGGTAGTCGTTCAATTTTTTTCCTGTTATTTAGTGCAAGCATCTTCACTGTGTATTCGTTCATAAAACAATAAGTTTAGCATAAACCACTCTATTCACGAATGACAATTGGACATCATTTCTGCGCGGTTGTGACTTGTGAATGCTGGAGCTGAGAATACAAAACAATGTGGATTGGCTATGGCACTATAAATGGAAGCATATACGCTACCTACCGTCATACATATATCCAATGCTTGCGTAAGAAATTGAACTACAATGTGGCGATATTTTCGCCAATCGGTGCTAAATATCCTTAGGTTTATTGGAATAACGGGAGAATCGGTCCTATGTACAATCGCATAAGCTATCAACAATTCGATAGGCAGTAGAAACCTACCATCCTATCGGCTATCATCGATGAATACTGTAAGGCCAAAACGTGCAAAAGGGCAGCACTGGTTGGTGTAGGAGACTCGGCGTTGTCTTTTTGTCTCTCTCGGAGTCTCCCGGGCGGTGGCGTGGTCAGTGGTGGAACAGGCGCGTGACCGTGTGCACCATCACCATCCCGTGCGCGTCAGCGGTCGCCGTAACCGCCGCGTCGTTGACCGAGCCGGCCGGCGCGGCGATATAGTCGGCGCCAGACTGGCCAGAAACAGGACGAGGTCAGATCACGGACTACTCACGTGGGCGGCATCGTACGAACAGAGAACGGCACCACATAGTACGAGACATGTTTACTTAGTTGGACGCTTCGGCAGTATGACGCGACGCATGATCAGTACATCCGCATTTGTTATGTGTAAAAATAAGAAGATTCGCTCTATCATCAAAATTATTCTCTAACGATGGTAACAATGGTACTTATTATAGGTCAATGCTATTGACAGGTCTGTACGTACGATAAAGGAAAAGCAGACCGATTTATTCCGGGCATTGCGGGATAATGCTCGACAGTTCGCCGTCCTATAATTGAAGATCAAAAGGACACGAGTTCTTTTTTAGAATTTGGAAGGAAATAAATTTGGCCCGTTTTATTCTGAACACTGATACCGTGCACCACCACCGCTTTAATGATTAATCAGCTGCGAATAGCACTGACCTGGCGCGCCCGGTGCACGTTGTCCTCGAACGGGAAGAAGGCGTCCGAGCTGACGGCCACGCCGCGCAGCTGGCCGACCCAGTCGCGCCGCTGGTCAGCGGTCAGCTCGGCCGGCTCCGCCTCCAGCAGCCGCGTGAACTGCGCGCGGCTCATGTCCTTGCCCACCGTGTCGCCGACAAAGTTGTCGACGGCGTTGGCCACGTCGGCGCGCTTGGTGCCGGCTACGAACTGGAGTCCTAGCACGGCTGGGTGGTGCCGCAGCCACCAGCGGTCGGCCTTGTCGCCGGCCAGGCGCGTGCAGTGGATGCGCGACTGCTGGCCGCCGCCCAGACCAATCACCTGACCGTCGCGCGCGTAGCACACGCTGTTGGACTGGGTGTACTTGAGAGCTATGGTGGCCACGATCAGGTCCCGCACGGCCGACTCCGGCAGCTGGCCGACCGAGAGGGGAAGAGAGGGTGGAAGTCAAGGCATTGGTGGTTACTATTTTTATTCATGCATATGGGCAAAGCATGGGTTATTCAATGTTTAAGTTCGTACACAGCTAAAGCAGGCTGATAGCCTACGCTATTCCCATGCATTACCTCTTTGTTGGCCGAGACGACGTTGGTGAACATGTCCCGGCCGATGAGGGCGTCGTTGCGCGCCTGCACCAGCCGCAGGCCGTACACGGTTCGAGTCTCCATCTGCGGCGGCTTGTACGCGGGGTCCATCTGAGAACAGCCGGCGCTGTCATGTACTGAACAGATGATGCCCGCCCTCGTAGGTATTCCGATTTCCATGGCATAACGCTCCTCAGCATTGATGTCAACAAGCAGTTCCTCGGCGAGTATAGTTACCCATCAGCATCAATATGATTCGGACATCCCGAAGAAATTCAACGTAAACGAGGCGAAGGGGTTAACGATGAATGCCAGACTGACCTGAAGTACACAATACTTTCCGGCTTTCTTCTTCTTCAGGACCTCAAGAGCTTCATCCGTGTAGCCGGGAGCAATAACACCGTCAGAAACCTGCGTGAGGGGGAATATTGCCATGGTAATCTGCAAGGTAACGAACTCATCCTTGTGCTCAGCATTTCGGCAATAATCGTTTTCCGAAGGGAGTCGTACTCGGAATATCACTAGCAAAAACAAACATCACGTGATTCGCACGTTCAAATTATTATTCAATTTTTCATAGCATGAAAGGTTATTTTCCCGGACGCCGTACCCAGTAGGGTGGCTGATGGTCTCCGTGTCCCCGCGCCCCTCACCTCCCGGCCGATCAGCCGCGCCGTGGCCAGGTCACACCGCTCAGAGAGCGAGACAAAGTCGCCGAACGACGACATGCGGTCGGCGCCGCGCGCGCGCGCATACGCGGCCGCCAGCGGCGTGAGCGCGTCAGCCACGTCCGACACCATGTTCACCTTGGCCTGAGGGAGAGACTCAGTGACGGTCGGGAGTCGGGGGTGTAACGATTTATAGATTTTCCCATGCCGCTACCACACCTCCCACCCTCAGACTAGACTCAGATGTCGCCTGTGAGAAATCACAGTACCTACATATGTATTTCGAACGGCGACTGCCCTCAATGTCTCTCTGAGAGCTGCTCCATTCGGCGACTCGCCTCCGTCTCTGGGAGGGCCAGACCTTCCGGTAACTAGCCCCAGTTTCAGTGTAAAAACCCGTCCTCCCGGCTCCTCACCTCCGTCTCTGTGAGGGGCAGGCCGACGGCGGCGCCGGCCGGGCTGACGTGTTTGAACGAGGCGGCCGCCGGCAGCGCCAGGGCCTCGGTCAGCTCGCGCACCAGCTGGAAGCCGTTGAGCGCATCCAGCAGGTTAATGTAGCCCGGAGAGCCGTTCAGCACTGGCGGCGGGTAACCCGTGGATCAGGTCACAGAAGGCGCGCATCTGATAGCTCGTTGCTCTCTCTCCTAGCACGGAAGATGAGGTGATGTGGCAGGCTCGGTCACGTTTTGATTTGACATCGTGTCTTGTGAACGGTGAGCTTATCAAAGGTAGACGCCAGACGGCATAAGGTACACCTATACCCATCATGCCATCTGCGACCCTGAGCAATAAGCAGTAAACGGAAGAAAGCAGTAAGGCGATAAGCGGCAGAAGGCGAGTTGACTGACCAGTTCGCCGTAGTGCCGTAACCCACCGGTGAGCGGCAGGAGGCCTGAGGTGCTGATATAACACACCGGTGAGCAGCAGTGAGGTACCGTAACCCACCGGTGAGCGGCAGTGGGATACCGTAACCCACCGGTGAGCGGCAGTGGGATACCGTAACCCACCGGTGAGCGGCAGGTGGCCTGAGGTGCTAATACATATTAACCTACCCGTCAGCGGCAGGTGGCCGTCGCCTCCGTACAGCAGCGCCGGCTTCTGGTGCGGGTTCATGCCGTAGCGCAGGGTGATGGCGGTGCGCGGCTCCGCCAGCTGGTGGCACATGTAGTGCGAGATGGCCTCGTCGTACCGCGCAGTATGCAGGAACGCCTTCAGCGCCAGCCGCTGTCTGTCGGCGGCGGCGGCGGGGGGGGGGGGGGAGACGTCAGTCATCGCTGCGATAAAAGGACAGCCGACAGAATATCGGCGACGTATTGTTTACTGGCCATTTGCTGGCATCTTTGACAATCAGACATGACAATAAAAACGATTAAGTGGAAGAAAGCTGTGGACTGGAAAGAAATACTTCACCTTTCAGATAGTAAGTTCCCGATTTATGGTGGTAGTTCTCCCGATTTATGATTATATGGTCGTGAAGCCAGCTGCTGAACTGTGCACAGCCGGGCGCCACTCCTGTTCTGCCCCTCCCCCCCCCCCCTCCCACGACCGGCACAGATCGGCCGGGAGGTCATCTCAAAGGCGCAGCTCTGCCCCCCCCCCCACATCCCGCCCACTGACCTGGTCTCCAGCGTGGTGTCTCCGCTGGGCGACGCCTTGACCTCGGCGAGCACGGCCTCGTAGTCGTCCGGGTCACACACGGCCGCCACCCGAGCGTGGTTCTTGGCAGCCGCCCGCAGCAAGGTGACGCCCCCTGATGGCAGAAACATGGGAGAACATTTGAATAAAACGGAAATAGAAATGAATTCATGAACAAGACATCTTCAATTTTCTACGTTATTATCCCTCCCTTATTGAATAATTCACTCTTCAGTCATTTTTCTTCGGGATCTTTTTTTTTTTTGTCGTAACCTAATCTTTGCATTTCGGAACCGGCGCCAGCGTGGCTACGTATTCAATTGCAGTTGGCTTGACTGCGACGACTAATGTGGATGCATAAAAATGAACACTAGGTACTGATAACCCGGTCCACGGATAGTTGGCCACCCGCCGACGAATTAGCCACCCACCGATGTCGATCTGTTCGATGGCCTCGGGGACGGTGACGCCCGGCCTGGCCACAGTCTCCGAGAACGGGTACAGGTTGCACACCACCACGCTGATCATCCGGTAGCCCTGAGCCTGCATGTCGCGCTGGTCTCCCTCGTCCAGGCGGCTCAGGATACCTGCAAATCGAGCAACACACATGGACCATTTACCACAAGCACAAGTACATGAAACAGGTGCGCGAGGAGCAGGACCGGACCGGAACTCAATCGCTATATTGTGTAGCGTATAACGCCGAAGCCAGAATTTTATAGATGACCCAACCCACTTATCGTTATTGTGGTGCTCATATCTGTCCAATGCATCTCGACTCTGGCTCAGCGCCGTCGTTTCCAGCCCATCTCCGTTTATCCTTCTCCAGTCCCGCCACACAGTCCATCTCGTCGTCGCGCGGCGCGGTGCTCCTTACCAGCGTGTATGGCCGGGTGGAGGGTCTTTACTCGCCCGCCGAGCATCTCTGGCGCTCCGGTGACGGTCGACACGTCCTCGACGGCCACGCCTGCGGCGCGGAGGGCCGCCGCGGTGCCGCCGGAAGCCACCAGAGACAGGCCGGCGCCGGCCAGCCCGGCCGCCAGCTCCACCACCCCGCGCTTGTCAGACACGCTGAGCACCGCTGTAGGAGAGGGAAGGGGGTTACCGGGGAAGGGATAACAAACCAAAACAGCAACAGAAACAGCAACGAAATGCTAGAGTAAATGGCGAGCGAAGAATCTGAGCTTACCGATAGGTTTAGCCATTGTGTTCCCTTCTGCGTTTCACTCGTAAGCAGCTGGAAAAGGAGAAATACATATCATTACTATGGGAACTTATTTTACTTTACGAATGGCAAGCGATGTCCAAGATGATGAAATGTTTTTTTTTCTTTCAAAACACAAATAACTAATAGCAGCCCTAGTCCCTTTTCGCTAGATCAATCTTCCCCGTAGCTGAGAACAATAACCAGCCGACCTTTCCTGTAAAGATAAAAAAGTCGTGAAAATGTTTACGCAACGTATCGATCAATTCAAATTGAGAAGCAGCCGATGAATCCAACAGTCCCCGGCCGGTCGGCCTGCACTCACCCGAGCTCCGTCCGGGGCACCGCTCCCGCACCTGATCACACCGGCTCACTGGCGCTCGGCCGGCCGGCCGGTCCGCCTCTCCGCACGCCGTGTGCACGTGGCCGGTTGTGTACGCCCCCTCGGCTGTCCTTCAGACGCCCTCGGAGACTGCGGGCCTGCCCGACCGGCCGGCCGACCCGGGGCTGTCCCCGCGCCACACGCGGGTAGACGCGAGACAACGGGCGGAGGGCAGTAACCGGGAATGGGGCGAGTGCTGGAACGAGCGGCTGCAGGCGTGGGTTATCGCTGGAAATATACAGACGCTGTCTCCATGAACGACTGTGCTCTGGAAGGAGGGGGTGAGGGATGGGGACAATGTCGAGTTGTAACGTGAGTCGTGAGGAGGCGTTTGAACTTCACCTCCGGCGACCCGTCCACCACCGTCTTACAACCTCTGCCCACGCTCCCGTCCGAAGTGCCCGTCAGAATTCATCCGAGCTCGTCAGGCTCATACGAGTGTCCGCCTGACCGCGTGATTTCTTCGTTTCCGGCAATGTCTCGTGTGTCATTCTAGGCAAGCCATCTGGAACACCGTTTTTACCATGCGGTCGGTCGAAGTGTTCTTAGGTTTTGAACCTATGCACGCAATCTATATTTGTATGCTGGCAAGCGGTAAGACAGTACCTATCAATAACGGTGATGCAGCCAAATTAGGGTCATTCGAAAGAAACGGCCATCCAAAAACAACAAATCAACCACAAACGTATATTTATCTTTACGTTCTCCGTGCGGTGGCATGAGACTGGGAAATGTAGCGAAACTGGGCGGAGTGGGTAGCTTTTCTGCCGGCGTCGGCGGCCGCCTGTCAGGTACAGATTCCATGCGCCGCCCGGGACGGGTGGGCGGCGCAGGAGGCGACTCACACCCCACCCTGCCTGCCAGCCGCGGAATGGAGCCGATTGTCTTTTGTACAGCGCCGGCGGGGCCTCGTCGCCGCGCTTATATACACTTCACAGAGACACAGAGCACAGTATCGGGCGCGCCCAGCGCCGGCCACTGCATAGCAGTTACCGGAGGCCGCCGATACAACGAATCAGACATACGCACGCGCGACACAGATCGTGGACCCGACCCGCGGCGGCCGCCGGGCCGCGCGAGCCTCACGGCGCCGCCAGCCAGACCTCTCAGCCGCGGCGAACGCAGGAGTAGCACACTATCATAGGACCATAGCTCTTCGCGCATCTTTGAAGACCATAGCTCTTCTCGTACCTTGACTCTCAGTTCATACAATACACCCGGATTTTATCAACATACACGATTTACACCCACACACGCACACGCAGCCACACACACACACACCCATACGCACGGAGGCGGTCGGTGGCGTTCGGCCGCCGGCCGCCGGTGCTGCGGTCACCCTGTGTTCCCTGCCGCGCCGGTCACAGCGACCCGCCGGCGCCCTCCACGCTGACCACCTGGTTACAGAGGTCTCTGCCGGACAGACAGCGCGGGACCCGGTCAGTAAAGGGTGAGCCACGCTCACAGCCAGCGGAGCAGAGTAGCATTACGAGCGCTAGTGTCTAACAGGGGGCGGGGTGAGCACAGCGAGTAGGTAAAGGGTGCGCCACACCCAGAGCAAAAGGGCGAGTACCAGAACCACGAAAACTGGAATGAATGTAATTTTCCAATCCTGCATTGCATGCATTTAACAGCTGATGGGTTTGCAAATGATAAAATCCCTGTTTGTTATCGGCTGCACCTTTTCAGCAATACAGCAGTTCGAGGTGGTTCTTCGAAAGAAAACCTGACCGATCTTTGTAGTCGATCTTTCGACAGACACGTCGTCACTGAAGTGAACAATTCAACCATTCGACTCGACCATTGGTTATTTTCCCACCCCCGGGACCGAACCACCCACCCACTCCCGTCCGTCACATCACTCACTTGTGCAGGTAGAAGAAGATGTAGCCGTTCCTCTGGTGTCCGGCTTCGCCCAGAACGTCGGCCTCGTCCACACAGCTGACGCGCCGATCGTCGTAGTGGAACCACCTGTCCCTGCCGACGCTGTACACATCCGACACGTAGTGCCCAGAGTGTGTGGCGCCGCCGTAGTGGCTGACGACGCCCACCAGCCGGTAGGTGAAGTCCCCGGCCAGGTCCACCGAACAGAGGGATTGGTCGTCTTCGACGCAGAACTCAGAGAGGCGTGCCTGCCGGTCACAGAGCAGAGCGCATGACGTATAGTCACACATCAAACACATATTGAGACAGCGCTCGGACGAGGGTTTGCCGGCTGGGGGCTTTAGGCGCGTCGATAGCGCGGTTATTACGACTCGAATGGTGAGCGAGGACTATGACTAGGCCAATGCACGACAGACGCTGCAGCCGGGTTCTTTCGCGGCCTTACCACGACACTCAATACACATGTTCAGAATCAACTATCAAGAGCCACAAATATTCGTAATTCGCATCATGTATAGGCCTCGCGTGTACAAAAGTTCTGGGTGGGCATTTGCAGCGTGCCGACCCAGCCGTGTGTCCTGGCAGTAGTGTCCAGTCCTGGTAGAACGGCCGACACGATCAATGAGTAAGCATCTAGTCATGCATTTAAAACATCCATGCACTAGACACCAACCCACTGAGCGGATCGGCGAGGTGGGACGGTCCGCAGTCTTCAGAGCCGCTGTCCCGAGTGCAGCGTAGTGTACCGGGAGCAAAACGGAAAGAAATGACAAAAAGCCTAGTGAAAAGCCACATAAAAGAAATAAAGCCAAAAATCATCAATAACAGTAGTCGCTAGCAGCCTGCAGTCCGCAGTTCACATGCCTGACAAGCCGTCCGAATCACTGACCTGCTCCGAGGCGTCGGCCGGCTCTCCCTCCTCCAGCGACCGCATGATGGCCTCCTGGAGCTCTCGATCCTCATCCTCGCGGGTCCGCGCCGGCTTGGACTCGGAGTCGGCGTCCAGCACCACCAGCTCGGCCTGCGCTGGCGGCGGCGGCTCGGCAGCGGCCACTGGTGACGGGGGACGCGCCGGCGCCGCGGCTCCGGCCGACACCGGCGAGCCGGCGGCGGCGGACTCCGGCAGGGCGGCGGCGGTGGCGGCCGGCACCGGTGACGGCCCTCGGGCGGCCGGCGGCGGCGACGGACCCGAGCTGGGCGCCTCCGACTCCTCGAAGTCGGAGAGGGAGCACAGGGAAGGCCTGGAAACATTCCGGGAGGGGCGGCAGCGTGTTACATTTAGCACCTTTTTGTGAACCAGGTGGCATACGAGATTTCATCTCCGACCGTTTCGCCATACAGACAAATAATTGCCGGTACGAAAACTTCTATCACAAGATACGATCAGACTTTCCATGTGTTAATGCTCCCCATCAAGCCAACCCAGTCACACATTGTCATTGACATTACAGCTGACGCCTTCGGCCTTACAGAATCGGCCACCCAGGTCAACTTCGCCAGTCTGCCAGCTGTTACCCGCAAGCCTTCAACTTAGTAAGGTGATAACAAAAGATTTCAATGCCACTTACTTGGTGCACTTCCACTCGGGAGGCCGTGTGACGTCGTCCGCCACGTACTCGTTCAGCGAGAGAAACTTGGGAATGCCGACGTTGGCACAGATCTTCTTCGACTCCTCCCCCAGGAACACGTACCGGTTGAGCTGGAGGATCAGCGTCCTGCCAAAAACAGCAATCAGTCAGTCACCAGTCAGCCTATCATGGAATAAAAAAAAAAACAGCTTGATGCTCGCGATTCCGCGAAGCTCACAAACATAAGCAGGCATTGTGAATGCAGGCCGTCATCTACGATTTCCGATTGGACTGGCACAGGGCAGGTACAACAAGCGTGCTATCCCTCACACATGATAACTAATGAAGTAAGAGCATATTCACTGCACTGCAGTAAAATTGTACAAAGGGCTGTGATCTACGGTAGAGTGCAGACGGCGCCTCACCTTGGCAGCTGGCTGATTTTCGTGGTGACGCGGCACTCGTCGTGGCGGCAGTGCTGACAGAGCAGCTCGCGCCGGTCGGGTCGCATGCTCAGCCGCAGCGCGTCCTGCAGAGTGGGCGCCTCGGTGCCCTGACGGCGCGGCACGCTCACAAACCAGCTGATGTTCTCCTGCCGCTTCAGGACCGTCTCATGGCACCTGCGCGGGGAGAGCGAGGGCCAGGGTTATGAAAGAATAATCTCCACTCAGACACAGTCTCTAACACATATCCAACACGCATTTACTACCATAACAAATTCAGTATACAGGCATGACAAACGGATATTTTACGAAAGCTACGTAAGCTATGATCTTCACTGGACCTGCCAGAGCAAAAGCATACTCAACCAAGACGCCGCAAATCAAACCCTGTCCGGTACTTACTTGGTGCACATGTAGCTCTCGACCGTCTGGTACTGGAAGTTGTCTCGCACCGGGTTGTCGGCCGGCCGTCGCGCATCTATCTCGTCCTTCATCGTGTCCAGGAGCCGCAGCAGGAACTCGTTCGCGTCCTGCATCTCGGTGCCTCGGAACGCCGGGTCGATTTCGGCGAACACATCACGCAGATCGCTGCGGCATGGGGGGGGGGGGCGGTCAGGTCACTGCGGCTGGGTGGGGTGGGGGCGGCGGTCATATACTGTAGTAAGGAAAGGCCGGACGGTCATCTGCTGTATCGCCACAATGTCATGTGTATGCCACCCCTGGCACACATAATCCACCCCACAACTCGCGCGTAGCAAGCAGCATAGGGCATCGTCACAGCCAGAGACTGCCAAGGGCCAAAATTTACATCATCGCTTTAATCAGGTATAACGAACACATCCCACCTCCCAGCCCATTTCCCAACAACTTATATGACGATTCCCTGTGTAACTATTACCACCGCCCTACAAATAAGCCCCAAACTGCACTCACTTGAGGTGGCTCGAGACCGATTTGCTGAGCGCCTTCTGGCGCAGCACCATCAGTTTGGCGACGGCGCGCAGCGTGCGGCACTGGCCGCTCTCGCCCGGGCCCGAGATCAGGGAGACCATCTCGCTGAGGAACGGCCGCAGGCCCAGCAGCGACTGCAGGGTGGCGTTCTGATAACAGGAGTTCCCGTAGTTCGGCAGGCTGCGGAAAACAAACACGGGTTAGTCAGCTCGACCTGTTGCAGGGTGTTCAGCTGTTGGGGGATCCTGGCCGGCTGTACGTCATTGAAAATAGACTAAACGACATTGCAAACACGCCGTCATGCGTCTGGTACCTAACACATCTGAAGTTATTCTGTACTGGCGTGGTACAAGTAATTGTAATGACCTTTTAAGCATAAAATTAAAACAATGAATGCATGAATGCATGAATGAATGAATGAATCCAATGCGGCGAGCATTGTGAACATGAACACAAGAACATCACACAGCTGGAAGTCGCATTTCATGTACAACTCATCACCCAGCTGGAGGCGAGTGGGGAGCAGAGCGGCACTCACCCGATGTAGAGCGGGTCCTTGCCGTTCTTGTCGGAGTCGATCGGCCGGATGGCCGGGATCAGCTGCAGGTCGCGGCTGGCCGTCTGCGCCTTACCGCCGTACAGCTGATGGCTCTTGCCGCCCTCGCCGGACTTGCGAGGCGACGGCGGCGGCCGCATCTGCTGGCTGGCGGCGAACCGCGAGCCGCCGGCGTCGGCCGAGTCGCCGTAGAAGCGCCGCGAGCCGGCGCCGGCCGCCTGCAGCCGCTCCGTGTTCTCCTTGTCGGCGCGGTCCGGGCAGCTGGGCGCCCGCTCCGCCGAGCGCGACAGCCGCGGCCGCTTGGCCTCGGACGGGTGCGGCGAGCCATCCCCTCGTCGGGAGACGTCGCTCAGCCGGCGCGGTGACGGCGACTCGTTCTCGCGCGCCCGCAGAGGCGACGAGCGCCGCCGCGGCGGGGAGCGCCACCGCGAGCCGCTGGCGGAGAGGAACACACCAGTGCTGTCCAGGAATGTGCAGGAAAAGCGAGCATCGAGCGAAAGGCAGGGGCAGGAATGGGGCAAACCCGCAAGTAAGATTCATATGAGCAGGTGGAATGACAGAATGTTTACTTACCCAGTGTCGTTTGTAGTGAGCACATCTGATAATTCGTTTTTGTTAGCTCGTCGCAGGCATTCACTCTCGAATTCTCTCTAAAACTTGTATTAATCAATCTCTAAATCTTGTATTAATCACCAAACAAGCAATGCCCAATAACATGTGAAGTCATATAGCTAAAAACAGTAAACTCACCTGTCGTCGTTCTGATAGCTCTTGCCGCCGCTGCTGTAGCTCGACGTGGGCTTCCTCCATCCGCCTCGCCCCCTTCCGCCTCCTGGCGGACCCTCGCCTCGGTAGCCGCCGTTCACCTGGCGGGCGTTGCCGTTACTGTACCCAGACCTGGAACAAAAATTGCATAACTAAATAGCTGCGTACAGGCTACAGTTATCCATATAAATGCCTTTATCGGATACAGAAGTACGTGGAAGACAGACTCTTCAATTCAACCAAAATTCGGCAAATTAAGAACATATAGAAACAGCAGGACTCATCTCAGTTCAGCACAGATGACGTGGCTATTAACTATAAGGTTAACCAAAATGTCTGGACGTGTCACTATTCCTGACATATCTATCTACAGGGTCTTTCTCGCCGAATGTTCTTTTTGAAACACCTGAGAAACGTGCAAAAATGTTATATTCCTGTAAGCATTCTAGGTCATCATAACCGCAAAACTTGGAAATTTTGATTTTACACTTTACTGGTCGACCTCCACCCAAGCTGTCTCCACAGGAGCTCCTCGTCTTTCGACGCACACAGCGGCGCGTCTGCGGAGACTGGAGACGGTGCGCGTCACCTCCATTGGATCCATGGCGGCCGCTAGCTCATCGACCACGTCAATCAGTTGCTTCAGTGTGGTCGGGGCAATGCCGGGAGTGAGAAGGTGTGTCGGTAAATGCGACAACTCGCATTGTTCAGTGTAACCAAGAGTGGAACTCCTTATGCCCGCGTGGATAGGAATGGGACTGAGTTTTAGGATTCCTGGACTCCTTCGAGCCTAATTTGGCTTGGGGTGCTGGGATGTTTTTTCGTATGCTTTCTGATAGCTCGTATGCTTTCTTCTACTTGCCAACAGGACATCGACCGCTGAGGTTATTTTTAAGCAGAATCGCCCTCAGGTTTGAACAGCGACGAGAAAAATAGCCGTTGAAGCAGAAAAAAATCATTTCTTAGGCTGACTGATATTTCTTTCAAATCAAAAGCCATTGTGTCCAGCCCCTAGCTCGGTTGGTAGAGCTCGGTTGGTAGAAATGTTGGGTTCCCGGTGGCAAGAACCCAACCTCCAGTGGTAGCCAGATTCGGGGCTGTCGCTCCAGTGCTCGATATACACACGAGACTCCTGATGGCGATGGTCTGCGGTTGGTGGGAACAGCCGCTGCCCGTTGAAGTCAGTTGAGTTGGATGTCCAACTTTGACAAGCACACTTAACCCGCGCGGGGCTGGGGTCTCCAGCCGAACGCGCGGGGCTGGGGGGGGGGGGGGGGTAAATTTTACCCCCCCCTGTTATCTCCCAAACTAATGGACCGATTTGGAAAATTCGAACGCCAATCGAAAGATCTCATCACGAACAACTAAAAACATGTACTTTATTTAAAATTTGAGGTCAAGGTCAAGGTCAGGTCAAGGGTACAAATTGCAAGTTTCTACAGTATCGGCCTTGCACCGTAGTTGCCGAAGAATGGAGTCATGAACTGAGACTGATTGCCCAAAACGTGTTCTTAGGCTACCAAGACAATATTCGTTGCATACAATATCATTCAGAGGTCAAGGTCAAGGTCAGGTCAGGTCAGGTGAGGTCACCAAAAACAAAATATAGAAAAGGGCATGTGCGACACATGTTTTATGGGTCATTTTACTCATAGAATTCAATAGGCACACTCAATAAGTGATATGGACCACCTCTGGATGAATTTCAGGTCGAGGTCAGGTCAAGGTCAGGTCAAGTGAGGTCAAATTTTGAAGTTGGTTGTTAAGGCCTAAAAAGGTGTCTATCTGATGCAGTTTTTCACGGCGAATCGAATGGTGCTATTTTTGTTTCCGTAGGAGGTCTAGAACTTCCAAAAAATTCTTTTTTTCAAATTTTTTTGTGTGTCGTGACATCATTAAACTTTGAATAACTCCCACATTTTTTAACCAATTCTTCTAAAAATTGGTATGTAGGTGCACATAGACCAGTTCTCTGACATATATTCCGGTTTTTTCGATACACTCAAAATTTTGGATTTTATAACTATTTTCCCAAAAGTCAGTTTTTTGAAAAAAAAATTGGGCTAAAATCCAAAATTTTCAAAAAACCGAGATAGCCATTTGATAGACAAAGTAGAAAGACGTATAACCTTTTTTGTTACGTCTTGATTCCTTTAAAAATGAAGATGTTAGCGGCGTTTGAAATTTTGCCGTTTTTGAGGCGAAAATGGCGAACATGACGTCACTAAAACGTCAATTTCTCAAAAATTTTCGGACGGATTTCGCTCAAATTTTCAGGGAACGTGTCAAATTGATGTAAGAAAAGGTACTGAAAGTTTGGGCGCTGCGCGCCGCCGTTTTTGAGATATAGCCAAAATTCGCGAGGGGGGGTAAAATTTACCCCCCCCCCCCAGCCCCGCGCGGGTTAACCCGCGTCGGGCTGGTGGGCTGAGTTTCTCGCGTCGTGCTGGGGGGGGGGGCGTTTTCACACCCCCCCCCCCCGTCTAACTCGGCTCCTAGGCCACGTAGCGACACGCGGCAAGCGGCATTCGAAAGAGCGTCAAAAATGATAATGCTTCAATATCCTAGAAAACACTCGGTTATTTTTTTTTTTTTTTGGTTAGGTCACAGGCCAGGTCACCGGAGGTCATCAAATGTCAAATTTTGACTGTTTTTGCAAAAACATAAACAATCATAGAACAATTTAGACAAATCAGCGCATAACTCGGGAGCCAATGGAGCTACGGCGCCACGGAAAAGCGCATTCGGTAGCTTATTTGCCGCTCTTTCTGGAGTGTCATCATATTTGCAACAAAGTCAACGGTTTAACCACCAGTGCTAAAAATATAGCCATCTTTTACGGAAAAAAATGTTCTTCAAATATATTTGACTCAAGGGAGTCACGACAATACTTTTGCCAGCATTGTGCTCCTCCCGTCAAAACGCGTCGAACGAACTAAGTTGACCTTGAAGTCATTTTGCATATCGGTCGATCTGTATCGTCGACCTGAACACGACCTGAGACGGCGAGAGAACGAGCCCAGATCGCAGCTGACACGATGGTCAGGTGGGCCAACAGGTGGAAGATGGTGATCGCCGGGGAGAAGACCCAGGCCCTGGTGCTCTCCCAGTGGTCCCATGACGCCAAGGACTTCATGATCAAGGTGGCCGGAACATCGGTCAAAGGATCCCCGCACCTGAGACTCCTAGGAGTCACCTTTGACAGACTGCTCCACTTCGGGGAACACTGCAAGAACCTGCGCCGGAAAGTGAAACCCAGGACGGCCCAGCTGAGGAAACTGACTGGTCGCAGCTGGGGCATCCAGGAGGCGAACTACGGACCGTTGCCAACGGTTACGTCCGGGGCGCCCTGGAGTACGCGGCAGCGGCGTGGCTCCCGGCGGCGTCTGAAGCTCACGTCGAGCTGATCGAACGCGAGCTGTGAGCGGCGGCTCGTGCGATCACTGGCTGCACAGCCTCGACCCCGGCTGCGCCGCTGATGGCCGAGGCCGGGGGGAGGGCACGTACAAAACGCTCACCAGCACAGCACGGGTTAACCCGGCAGTTGCTGGGGTATTTCGCCACCCACCGTTTGCTGGGGGGGGGGGCGTTAAACGCCCCCAGCCGATAACTCGAGAACCAATAGGCGCAGCGAAACGCACGAGGCGGCAAACGAAAGAGCGCGACGAGACGCTTCAGATGAGTACTTTAAAATTGAATTTTGAGGTCACAGGTCGGGTCAAGGTCAGGTCAAACACCTGAAATCGGGCTTTCAGTAGCATGGACTTCAGGACTTCGCAATGGGCGCCTCTCGTCATAAACTCTGTCCAAACGGTGCACAATCCATCATATAAGGCCTACAAGAGTGTCAGCTCCATGTAGGGGTCAGTCAAGCATAGGTCAGGGTCAAGGTCAGGTCAACCGGGTAGGCACATATACCCGAAAATCAAAACTGATATTCGCAGCCTGTGACACATGTTTTATAGGTAATTTGGGGCGTAGAACACGATGGTGACATTCATTTTATCATATGTGTACGTGTTTGGCTCAAAAAGTTCAATTTAAGAAATGCATGTATCATGGTCGTGAAGTAGTCACGAAAAATTGTCAAGATTCAGTTCAAGATTATGGAAAATGCGGAGCGATAATCAATAATCGAAGATAGCCATTTGATTGGTCATGGTATTGGCAGTCTAATGGCGTTTACGGCATGTCTGTATGTCTATTCTGTGATTTTATATGATTTTTTGAACATATGCCGTTTTTGGTCGAAAACTCAGAAATCATGACGTCACTAAAACCTCGATATCTCAAAAATTTTCTGACCGATTTTTTTGAAACTTTGTCACAATAAACTTCGATCAATTCCCTACAGGTAACCAAAATTTGGCGCGCCTGCGGCGCGCCGTTTTTATACTATGGCCCGGCGAAAAAAGTGGGGGCGTTTAACGCCCCCCCCCAGCAACTCGCGGGTTAATACTGGTATCTAGATTATTCCTTAACCAGGCACTGCACATTGGATGATGGGGTCAGAGCCTGTGCAACAAGCTCTGTCTAGTGAAGGCTCAAGCTCCATCCAATCATCCATCCATCAGTCCATCCATTCAAACATTGAAGCTACTTTTATTATCATCTTCACATGTGAGATTTAAATTGTGGGTAACTATAAGGCCTAAAAACAAATGCAGCCAGTTATTTTTTGTTGTAACTGACCTTGGGTCAAGTTTGCAATCTCACTGAAATAAGTAAATAGGGGAAGTTTTAATGCAAATATTTCAAATAAAGACCACAGTAAACACCCTGAAGCATTATTTAGTAAATTGAACATAAGTGCATACAATGGTCTACTTACCATGGTTTACTTACAATTTACAACGGTTATTCCACATTATACCTGGGGTTGTCCTAGCTAATAAAATATCACACAAGGTTTTCAGACAACTTGTAGACACCTAGGGCCTAGACAGAAATGTTTGGGACACCTTTCAACAGGCTGTCCAAACAAGCAAACACTTACCACTGATTGTTGCCATGGTGGTAGCCTCTTGCATTGGGGCCTCTGTACTGGTACTTCGGTCTGCCGCTGAAGTGTGTCTTGGGCGAGTTCCACGTGGTCCACTCCCTGCTTTGGGGAGCTCTCTCCGCCCTTCTTGGAGGCTGGTAGTCATTCCTCCAGAATGTGTTGCCCCGATTCCTCGGAGTAAATTGCATCCCTGAAAAGTATGGGTTGGTGATAGCTATAGCCAGTCACATTAAGTAATATGCACGATGAAAAACAAATTAGGGGAGTTACTATTAAATATCATCACACTTTTGACTAGTGGAATACCTAGTTGCAATCATGAAATATATCAAACTTGGATCATTTGGTGGAGTGTTGCAGTAGCTGAGTTCCAAATGCAAGAACTAATACCTAAATCATATATCACACAGTTAAATAATACTAGTTTACACAGCTCACTAATACATCACAGTTTGTATTATTACTTGGGTGTTCATTACTAATACAGCCCACAGTTTGTATCATTATTTAGATGTTCATTCCAGATTAGGTAAATCCTAATTTAAGAGGGGTGTGCGGTAATTCTCACTTATAGTAACTTTCAAGATTCAATTTTAAAACATTTTTGCAAATACCCTTGTTACAAACTCAATGTAGGTACATATTCAATATTATCACTGGATGCATTTTTTAAGCACCACTTTGATCGAAAACTACAATGTTCGATAACTACAGCGTTCGATGTCTCTCGGACGGCGAAGATTCTATGTCGTCCGGCCAATCCCGTTCAAGGTCAGCGGGGGCTCGGCTGCGGTTATGGAGCGTGATTGGCCGGACAGTGTAGAATCTTTGCCGTCCGAGACATCGTACGCGGGGAAGTAACAAGTAAGCTTGCTTCAATCAGTAAGTAATCCAAATCAAGGGCAAGTAGAAGTAAGCCCTTGCAACATGCAATGATTCCAACAGCCAGAATGCAGCTTCTGGTCATCTACAAGGAAACTTATATTTCATTACCCACAATTTTAAATACAAAAATACAGTTTGACTGTGAATCACTGCGGCCACAATTGTTGCTGGACAAAGCAGCAACCCTAGGATAAACCATTTTAGAAAAAATAGCTGAAAATAATACTACACATTCATAATGATATTATCAACAAAAATCACTAGCACTTAATGTTGATATCCTACCTGTGGACAACCAATGTTATGCATTTTGTGGACAGCAAACTAGAAAACAATGAATCTACTAATTCAACCAGCACCATGTGTTCAAATATAATTCTTATTATAACAATGGATGCTGAAGCAAACAGAGTACGGACATCACAAAATAAAACTGCGACGAATATCACTCATAAGCAAGTGAAACAAGACCACGTTTTCCCGCCCAAACCGGCGCCGCGTAACCGGACAAATCTTCGTATGGCAATTCTTCGTCGCGCAATTCCTCGTCCGCATTTCTTCGTCCGCAAATCTTCGTCGGCGCATTTATTCGTGTCGCATAATTTCGTCTCGCATTTCTTCGTAAGCGCAAATATTCGTAGCGCATTTTTTCGTATCCGCATTTCTTCGTCGGCGCATTTCTTCGTCAAGCATTTTTTCGTCCACGCATTTCTTCGTCTACGCAAATCTTCGTCCGCATTTCTTCGTCCACGCAAATCTTCGTCTGCGCATATCTTCGTCCGCAAATCTTCGTCCCCGCAAATTTTCGTCCGCAAATCTTCGTCCGCATTTTTTCGTCCACGCATTTCTTCGTCTACGCAAATCTTCGTCCGCATTTCTTCGTCCACGCAAATCTTCGTCCCGGCAAATCTTCGTCCGCAAATCTTCGTCCGCAAATCTTCGTCCGCAAATCTTCGTCCGCATTTTTCGTCCACACATTTCTTCGTCCACGCAAATCTTCGTCCGCAAATCTTTGTCTGCGCATATCTTCGTCCGCAAACCTTTGTCTGCGCTATCTTCGTCTCCGCAAACATTCGTCCACAAATGTGGTTCAATAAAACCATGAGGACATATATCAGACCATTGCAAGTGAATGACGAATTTAATGCATGGAATGGATGATCGAAACTTTTGAAGTCAGGTAGATGAGGTCAGTCAGGTGAAGTTATTGTATTTGGGAGCCGACAATTGTAACATTCCATATCATTTGTGTCCCGGACATTCTTTTTTTTTCGCGGTCGATGAATGACAATATAATCTCTTGTACCCTCGCCGGCATAGGCGGCGGAACGGGGAGGGCACCGGGGCACCGTTCCCCTCTTTAATTTTGGCCTTTTAACAGTAGCCCTATGGTCGTTGCATGGAAAGAATGGGACTAAAAGTCGGCAGTGCCGTGCCCCCCCCCCCTAATTGAAAGTGTTCCGCCGCTACTGCTCGCCTGACCTATTTGTTTTCTACATACACGCCGGCCGAGGGGGGGCGGGTACGACCCCCCCCCCCCCCCCCATCGCCGTTTCGCCACTGGTGGAGCTAGCGCGTCGCGGAAAAAAACGAGCGTGTGCGCCGTTACGAGACGCAGAGATTAATACCCGATTTTAAGGCCTTCTAGGTCAGGGGTCGGCTTACGGCCCGCGGGCCGGATCCGGCCAGGTGGGCATGACGGTTGGATCCGGCCCGCGACCATCTGACGTTCGGCCCGCGGCTGGTATCAGCGACTTACATCGTGTTCCGGCCCGCGGTTCTTTCAGAAATCGACTCCAATATAAAAGTGACTTAAATATGCTTTGGCACAATAGTTTTTCCTTCGCACACTTCATGAGTTTATAAACACCATTTGCGGGTGTTTTTGTCTAATTCTTGCAACGGTAAGATTTGGTCAGCAGCTTTTGCGCGCAGCATCAACGACTGCTGGCTGCGTGCACTTGGCGGCTTCACGTGGTCTACTCGTTTAACCTTCCAGGATGGGGGCATTTTTTTGCCCCCCCCCCCCCGTATCTCCGAAAGTACTGGACGGATCCGGAAAATTCAAACGGCGTTCGATAGCCCTGTCAAATTTGTGGAAGGAAGCTAAATTTCATTGACCTCGGGGTCACCGATGACGTCACAGGTCAGGTCAAAGATAACATATTTCACCGTTCACGGGTCTTCTAGGGAAAGCGCTATAACACCGAGTTTGTCGAAAATCAGCGATAGGGCGTCAGTTATCTAGTACATATGTTGCTATTAGAGGTCACTGGTCATACCAGGTCAGTTCGCAGGTCAGGTCACCAAGGGTCACCACATGAACCCAACCTGCAAATGGTGTTTATAAACTCATGAAGTGTGCGAAGGAAAAACTATTGTGCCAAAGCACATTTAAGTCACTTTTATATCGGAGTCGATTTCTGAAAGAACCGCGGGCCGGAACACGATGTAAGCCGCTGATACCAGCCGCAGATGGTCGCGGGCCGGATCCAACCGTCACCCACCTGGCCGGATCCGGCCCGCGGGCCGTAAGCCGACCCCTGACCTAGAAGGCCTTAAAATCGGGTATTAATCTCTGCGTCTCGTAACGGCGCACACGCTCGTTTTTTCCGCGACGCGCTAGCTCCACCAGTGGCGAAACGGCGATGGGGGGTCGTACCCGCCCCCCCCCTCGGCCGGCGTGTATGTAGAAAACAAATAGGTCCGGCGGGCAGTAGCGGCGGAACACTTTCAATTAGGGGGGGGGGGGGGGGGCACGGCACTGCCGACTTTTAGTCCCATTCTTTCCATGCAACGACCATAGGGCTACTGTTAAAAGGCCAAAATTAAAGAGGGGAACGGTGCCCCGGTGCCCTCCCCGTTCCGCCGCCTATGCCGGCGAGGGTACAAGAGATTATATTGTCATTCATCGACCGCGAAAAAAAAGAATGTCCGGGACACAAATGATATGCAATGTTACAATTGTCGGCTCCCAAATACAATAGCTTCACCTGACTGACCTCATCTACCTGACTTCAAAAGTTTCGATCATCCATTCCATGCATTAAATTCGTCATTCACTTGCAATGGTCTGATATATGTCTTCATGGTTTTATTGAACCACATTTGTGGACGAATGTTTGCGGAGACGAAGATAGCGCAGACAAAGGTTTGCGGACGAAAATATGCGCAGACAAAGATTTGCGGACGAAGATTTGCGTGGACGAAGAAATGTGTGGACGAAAAATGCGGACGAAGATTTGCGGACGAAGATTTGCGGACGAAGATTTGCCGGGACGAAGATTTGCGTGGACGAAGAAATGCGGACGAAGATTTGCGTAGACGAAGAAATGCGTGGACGAAAAAATGCGGACGAAGATTTGCGGACGAAAATTTGCGGGGACGAAGATTTGCGGACGAAGATATGCGCAGACGAAGATTTGCGTGGACGAAGAAATGCGGACGAAGATTTGCGTAGACGAAGAAATGCGTGGACGAAAAAATGCTTGACGAAGAAATGCGCCGACGAAGAAATGCGGAAACGAAGAAATGCGCTACGAATATTTGCGCTTACGAAGAAATGCGAGACGAAATAATGCGACACGAATAAATGCGCCGACGAAGATTTGCGGACGAAGAAATGCGGACGAAGAATTGCGCGACGAAGAAATGCCATACGAAGATTTGTCCTGAGCTCTGTTCGCACCCCGTTTATTTATCAGCAGGCTGCGACCATGCTGCTGCTTCTTGGCTCCTCATTGGTCGAATTTAAGTGGTCTATTCGTTAGACCAATGAGAGGCCAAGCCGCGCCAGCAATAACTTCCTTATATGGGGAAAACCGACAGCACGCTGATATAAAAACAGCGACCGAACAGGGCCCTGGAATCCGCCGCCGGGATGACCGGCATTTTCCCTTGGCAAAATATTCGGTGAAATACGACAAATTTAAGACTGATATTCGGTCCAAATTAAAATGAAACATACCAGAAACAGATTGGAAATTAACAACGACCAGCCACTTACCTAAAAATAATTAATATTTACTCCGATAGCCGGCACACGCACACAACGGCGGGAAAAACTGCGGCCATTTTGAGGGGAAGTGATGGAGAAATATTCTGCGACGCGCAATTTTTCGTGAAATATATACCTTAAAAATTCCTAGCAAAGTTCATCATAGCGTTTATTTTATTCCACTCATTTCAAACGTATTTTACAATCATGAAATTCTTCCCTGATTGAGAAAAACAGCAGTTGCGAAAAAGAGAATAGTATCATCAGCACTAAGAGTAGTACGCATTCCATAGTAGAACTGACGACTAAATAAAAAGCAACTACTTGTAATAATAACCAACAAAAATATGACGATGAAATTGGTAGAAATAGCGAACGTGTTTTACTTTCTGACAACAATCACAACAAACTTTGTCAAAATTTAAAGTTCTTTTTGCACCACAGCATAAACTGCTGAAATCTGGTTCTCAAGTGATTTGGCGCCAACAGTCGCTATCACTTTTCACCTTGACAACCACGTGGACCGTTCACCGTGGTGACCCAGTGATGTCCCCTACGACTCCATCCAAGGCTATAGAGCTCCGGCTCCATCAACTCAAAGCTCTATGGTTAGATTTAGGGAGGGGGGAGGCAGCCATAGCCTCGGGAGTCGATGGATGATCTTGCCATCTGATGGCATCCCGGCGTCGGTGTAACACAGTGCGTGTGGGGTGGGGGGGGGGGGTAATCTTCTGCTCGTGCAGAGCACAATGAGAACGGCCATGCCATCTTTCTGACAGCACTATCAAACAACTGATTTTACAGAGACCTGGTCTGAGCGCAGGTCATCCCCAGTGAGAAAACCCGGCAAAGTTCTGCAGTTAGCTCAGTGAAAGTGCACATATGGTGTGTTTCCGACCTTTGGGAGTGGCTTGTGGCCAGTGGCAATGCCAGCGTTTCATCCATAAGATCTTGTCGGAGAGCGGGATAGGCCGCGGGCCGCGCTTTCTCTACGAACTACTAAATCAAGCGCTAGCCCGTGTTCTCCTTTATTGACTTACCGGAAATTCCTAACGGTGAACGGACAATAGATAACAAAGGAAGGACCGGGCGCTACGCCACAATCTCCGTTTACCGTTCGTTAGGCGGCACGGGCGGACATCGATAGCAGCGCCTCTATCGGTCACTAGGAAAAGCTGGGCTGTAGGCGACGAAATACCGGCTGAGTTGTCACACGTTGAATAGGTTTATAGACATCCGTCTTGTGAAAAAGTTGAACTTTTGCCTGCAATATTTCTACATGCAATTTTAGAAGTGTCTTCACATAGATTACAAAACCGTTTAGATTATTGTATTCACTTCAAGCCTTCCCTATTGTTCTTGACGATGAAGCGGGAACTATTTCTAATTAGTGTTTCTAGCTTAGTAAAAGAACATATTGTGCAAACGATGAAAAAAGCATAAATGGAAGATTTTAAATGCAATTTTCTCTAGCAATTAATGGTAAATTCTCTACAGATCAAGGAAAAGGTGCATGCTAACTGATAATTTAAAGTTCTTGGGGCCAGTTGTTATCTTCTTTTCTTACGTCGCCCCAATGGCCGCGAATACACTTGTGATAACGCCTATCGTCAGAATGGGGATAAGTGCACTGTGCAGTACCTACCTTCGGAAAGCCGGTCATATCAATAATCAAACCGAGTCCGTTGTGCTTTTGGAGGTCCTGATATGCTTCGATTATTCGAGCATACGAAAAAAACATCCCAGCACGTTAAGCCCAATAAGGTTCGAACGAGTCCAGGAATCCTAACTCAATCCCATTCCTATCCACGCGTGCAAAAGAAGTTCCACTCTTGGTTACACTGAACAATGCGAGTTGTCGCATTTACCGACACTGAAAGCAAACACCCTTCACCAGCGCTAATGACTTTGTCTTGACCTTTTGCAATCGCCATTCACCGCCACGCGACAGCCATTGTGAGCATATTGTGTGTATTGACACCCAGCTGGACATTCTCGTCCGCGAGGTTACACAGCCATCAGACAAACATTTGCATACTGGCACACACACACACAGACACACATCAGTGGGAAGTGATGAACTCCTTGTCACTTCCAATGCCCCAGCCGGCACTACCCTGCGGTGATCGCCGGGCTCAGCCGCGGTGGGCCGTTCCAAACTGGACCGTCCAGAACTGACAGCCGGCTGTTCCAGTACCGTCCTCACGGTTCGGAGCCGACAGCCGGCGACCGGTGGCGCTGCGGACCGCACCAGGCGCCGTGACTGGGCCCAGCGGTGCGCCGCCGCACCCGACTACCAGAGCCAGCGCCACCCTACTCCGCCGCCTCCACTCGGACTATCACCCTATTGCACAGCGATCGGGCAAGGCTGCTGGCCACGGGACCTCAGATTCGGGTATCAGCTCTCAGTCACGCCGCGCTCGGCTGCACTACTAGGGCGGCACACGGAGGCGGGCACTGCCGACTCCTGCCACGGACGACGGCGCCGGGACCTTCAGGAGAACTTGACTGGACTCAACAGCGAGCATCGAAATTAAGATTGACTAAAAAACGGCACTGAGAATATTCCAAATACTAAATTGCCGTTTCAGGGAACTCGCTGAATTGCGAAGGTAACAGCTGGCTTGACTTCTTTTTGGTTCGTAGCTGTCTTTCGATGTGTTCTAAGCTTTGAACAGATGTCCAAAAACGACAAACTTAACGATGGCGAGTGTTGTGATCGGCGGCGACTATTCTGAGTGGAACCAGCGCGCCCAGGCCACCACCATGCGGTCCCAGGCGTTCTCCCAGCTGTCCAGGGCCGGCCGTACGTCCAGCAGCGCGAACTTGTAGTCGTTGGGGTTGACGGCGCCGCCGTCGTAGTAGTCGATCACGTAGCGCACCTCCTTGCCGCACCGGTCCACGATCCAGTCGTGCCGGTCGAACGGCAGCTCGTACCTGGCGGACGGACCCGGCGCCAGCGCCGCTTACAAACGTGCCCACTCGCAAAGCAGGCTCACATTATATCCAACGCGGACGGTGGGACCGGTGCAGGGGCGCGATTATAAAAGCAGCTGGCTTGTGCATGACCGATGACAAGACTCCATATGCTTTTTTTGTTCTTTTTTTTTACAAAAGAAAGAACTTCAATAAGTACAAAAAAAGACTGCAAATATTGACGATGTTTCATCGATTTTATAATTCAAAGACGCGCAACAGGTGTATCAAAACGTACAGGGTTGGGCAGATAAATTGGGACAAATTTCAACTTCCTGTAAAACGACTATTTTTTTAGCGATTAAGATAATTTTTTAACATAAATATAGGCTAATGAATACTTTTCCATGTTATGCAGGCTGCGTTGTAATTTTGAGTCGGCTGGTCACAGAGCGTGGGCTTAAGCAAGCCACTATCACCTTAGTCCGCGCGCACATGCATGCCAATACTCTAACTATGCTCCATCAAATGGCTGAAAGTGGTGTGTATCGAACAGACGTAAACGTTGGAGGAAGAGATGATATTCACTCATCCTTACATACCTATTGTATTGACACCGGCCGCTCCCCCGGTTTTCCAGGGGGGCTAAAAGGCAAAACTTAGTTAAATCAGAGGATCCTTGCGAAAACAGGGGCGCGAGCTTACAACGAAGGTAGCCGCGCCATGAGAAAGCGATATACCAGCACCTCAAACATGTACTCTTGTGCATTGATGCATATTAACCTGTTAACATAGATATTGAAGCAGCTGTGACGTTAAAAAGATTGTTTCCTCTTGAAGGGCTTGGAGAAGCCAGCAAGCACGTGCAGGTCTTTTTCGACGATGGTATCCCCATTACCGAACATATGAACAACCGCAAACACCATGTAACATCGCAACCAGCCCCGAAGACGTGATCTTAGTTTCAAAAAGCATGCAGCAGACATCGGTGATGGCATTCCACTCGGTGACTTCTGACGGTCACGTGAGGCCCCCTTATTTTACGGAATCGGGAGGGGGTTCGCCATTACAGAGTACCTAACCATTATTCCGGCAGTTTGAATCAACAAGATGGAAGAAGGCAACATCCTGCATGGATTGATGCTCTTCGAGGAGTCAGCTCCCCGGCATACAGTAAATTAAATACAAAATCTCCTGAAACGGAGGATCCCGCAAACTGTACCCAAGGGAAAATGCCCCCTTCCTCATTAAACCTCAGCCCACACAAGTTCCGGTTGCTTGGGCGTTTTTGCGGGTGAGTCTAACGAACGTCTCCATGTGACTGTAGTGGGCCTCAGCAGTGCCAGTTGGCTACAATTACGAGCCATTTCAGACGGAAGATCTCGCCGCGCGTGCGGCCAGTCCAGGCACCAATAAGGACTGATGCAGGTGGACCACGGTGACCATATTTGGTGATAAATGTGTAAAATTGGTGTGACAATATGTGATCCAAATTTGAAATGCCTATGTTTACAAATTTCTAAGCTACGGCGTTCTAAATGCAAATATGTATTTTGTCCCAATTTATCTGCCCAACCCTGTATTTCGCAGGGAACAGGTGAGGCGCACTGTTTTAATACGTGCTTGCTGAGACTTTTACTGAACGACGAGAATCATCGTGTGTGGTTCTAGCAGGACTAGCAGTCACTATTGTCTATCCACTGTACTCACCCCATCCAGCTCCTGAAGCGGGCGCGGGGCGAGTAGTCGGCAGCCTTGCCGCCGAACCTTTTCAGCTTCGGCTGGCCGCACTCGTGCGCGTGCAGCGCCTCCCACTTCAGGATCTGTGTCAAACATCAGCGCGACATCAGATAACTGGTATGATTAGGCACCGGGGCTATGAATGGGGCATTTGAGAGCGCCTTAACCCGCGCCCCGCTGGGGGGGGGGGGCAGAATCTGCCCCCCTCCCGTTTTTCGCCAATAACTTATAAACGCGTTAAACCAGCGACGTCAAACTTTCAGTACCTTATCATACATCAATTTGACACATTCCCTGAAAATTTGAGCGAAATCCGTCGGAATTTTTTTGAGAAATTGACGTTTAAGTGACGTCATGTTCGCCATTTTCGCCTCAAAAAACGGTAAAATTTCAAACGCCGCTAACATCTTCATTTGTAAAGAAATCAAGACGTAACAAAAAAGATTATACGCGATTCTACTTTGTCTATCAAATGGCTATCTCGGTTTTTTTGAAAATGTTGGATTTTGGCCCATTTTTTTCTAAAAAAACTGACTTTTTTGGGAAAATAATTATAAAATCCAAAATTCTGAGTGTATCAAAAAAACGAAATATATGTCAGAGAACTGGTCTATTTGCACCTACATACCAATTTTTAGAAGAATCGGTTCAAAAATGTGGGAGTTATTCAAAATTTTATGACGTCACAACACACAAAAATTTTGAAAAATGATTTTTTTTTTGAAGTTCTAGACCTCGTACGGAAACAAAAATAGCACCATTCGATTCGCCGCGAAAAACTGCATCAGATAAACACCTTTTCAGGCCTTAACAACACACTTCAAAATTTGACCTCACTTGACCTGACCTTCACCTGACCTCGACCTGAAATTCATCCAGAGGTGGTCCAGATCATTTATTGAGTGTGCCTATTGAATTCTATGAGTAAAATGACCCATAAAACATGTGTCGCACATGCCCTTTTCTATATTTGGTTTTTGGTGACCTGACCTGACCTGACCTGACCTTGATCTTGACCTTTGAATGACATTGTATGCAACGAATATTGTCTTGGTAGTCTAAAAAACACGTTTTGGGCAATCAGCCTCAGTCCATTCTTCGGCAACTACGGTGCAAGGCCGATACTGTAGAAACTTGCATTTTGTACCCTTGACCTGACCTTGACCTGACCCCTGACCTACTTAAGCAAAAAAAAATTGGGCTCTTAAGATCCGCCTTGTTGAGAGCTTTCGATTGCCGTTTTCCCCGTCTTTCTACGACCATCGGTTCGGAAGTTAGACAGGGGGGGCAGAATCTGCCCCCCCCCCCGAGCAGGGCGCGTATGGCTGAATAGCCCAGCGGGGCGCGGGTTAAAGCGTCTCCGGATAGGCCGGCAAAATATAAAAATGCATTGGCATGTTTCCTATTGAATATTCAAGCTTCATTGTGACGCTCTATAAAAAAGGAAGACAATCTACCGTGTCCACTGTTCATCCACGTGGACATATTGATAATGAATAGCTCTTGTGTACCAAAAAAGCGACAACTAAAGCAATATCAAATCTGCTTAATGCGTTTTTATTGTTTTTTTTTTCATTCTTTTCCGCATCCACAGCTCTCAAAACTTAAGTGAAAGAGGCAAGATTCGACATGACTTTGTTCGAGGAAAAGTACAGTGACTAGTGAGACACATATTCGTGCATAATCCATCGAAATGAGGTAATTCAGATAGTCAACACAAACATTCATGATTTCACAAACGTTCATGACTGTACTGATCGGATCTCATCAGCGTCCATGTACCGACGACAGGGTACCGGAGGGCCGAGGTCGACCGCCTACCTCCTGCCAGGCGAGCTCGTTGTTGACGTTGTGGATGCGGATGATGTTGTCCATGTCCATCTGCGACAGGTCGTCCTCCTTCCAGCGCCAGCCCTTGCGTAACATGGCGTTCCAGAACATCTGCACAGCAAGTGTGCCGTTAGCGCGGGGAGGAGGGTGATACGCCCAGGGCAGCGACAGAGCACGCAGATGGCTGTATCGCTGTATCACTAAATAGTTGTGCGTTATCATTTGGATAAAGGAAAGAATCGTTTATTGTCACGATAAAGGATAAAGTCGAGATTAGCTGAGCAAGTATGTCCTATTGACTTTGGTCTATCGGTGACGACGGGTACATGCAGCTGGAGTTGTCGGAGGCTAGGACGCTCACTCTCCTGCTAACCCAGTTGGAGCTGTCAGGGGAGGGCGAGAGGAGGAGGCCGGAGGCGCCATAATTGCTGACCTGCGGTGACGGGTACACCCAGTTGGAGGTGTCGTCGGTGGCGCGCGGGATGTTGGACACCTGACGCTCAGTGGAGAGCGGGAACGGCTGGTCGGGCGCCGGCTTCTGGTTCGGCGGCGCTTCCTGTCCACAAACAGAGGCCACACATGGCGGTCAGAGGAACGGCGGGACAGACATGCACGGACCCGGCACCTACGAGCCGCGTACCGACACAGACGCTGGAACACGGCGCCGTAGAGTCACGTAGGGGTCCGACATCACCCATTCACACGCACCGACAATACACACGATAGTCACACCACCTGATTCGGTCACAGACTGATCAGACTGATCCACGAGTCTGCCGCCGGGCACCGTCCCGGCGCGGCGCACTCACCATGTTGGCGGGGTCGACCTGGAGCACGGCGCCGGCCTGGTCGGTGACGATGCCGTGCTGGTGGGCCGGCAGCGAGTCCCGCCCGGTCATGGGACGCTCTGGCGCCGAGCTCGAGGACATGGGACACTCGGGGGGTAGGGTCTGCCCGCCGCCACCCGCAGACATGGGACACTCGGGCGGCAGGACGCGGTATGGACCGGCGGCCGTCTTAGCGGGCTGCTCCGGCACGTCCGCCGATGGAGGCTGGGTCAGGTCTGAAAACACGTGAAACTATATTAGTAAAAGCGCTCTCATCAAACAGAATATACCTCACAACATAACGGTCTTCACAGGGTGTGGTGTGACTGTGGACAGTGTGTGTCTAAGCACAAAAGCATATTGACAATCACTCGGTCAACTAATATGTAGGTACAGGTCTCGCGGGTTTTAGCGGTAGGTTTTGCACCTAGAAAATTTAGTGTACTTCAGGCTATATCTTCGTCGTCTTAAGCTTTTAAGTGTTGAAGATGCGATCGACTTGTTGGGTAACAAGCCGGCCATGATCGTGTAAAATGGCTTCATCGTAGATCGATTAGTTTCCTGAGATATAACCGGAAATGTAAAAGTGCAAAACCTACCGCTTAATCTCGCGAGAGCCGTACATTTTCAGGAAGATAGGGAGATAAAACTCAACGCAATACATCCGTAGCCAAGCGCATCAGAACTAGACGATCGATGAGTACTATTTGAAATCTGACCTCTAGAATCATTAACCAATTATATACCCACTCGCATTTCGATCGAACAAGTACAAAACAGCGTTGAGTATCGAAGCACACCTTAGTAGGCATTTCAAAATGGCATATAAAAACTTAATACTCTTCACACTAGATAATCAGTAGAATAATAATAAACGAATGCTAAAATGCCAATTACAGTGGAATCCCCTTAATAAAGCCACCTTGGTGACAAGGTGTTTTGGATTTATTAAGCGGTGGCTTTATTAACCGGTGTCAGCTATTTTCATCAAAAAGCATGTATCGCAGCTGCACGTTCCGTTCCCCTGCACTACGTAGGGTGAATGAAAAGTTTTGAGCCTAACATAGTTACAGGAGACGCAGATTAATGAAACTTTGGTCACATATTTTGCCACTATTGATATGGGTGGACACCAAATTGTGAAGTCCTAGCACTTTTTTCCTTACTTTTTTAGCGCCTTGAATCATGCTATTTTGGGTAAGTGCTCGCGGTGTCAATGACGTCATTATTTTTTGTGAAGCGTCATCCAGTCAGTTTTTTCTTTAGGTTTAGAAAGAAATAGACACCCTAAGGATACCAATGCTGGTTAAAAGATTAAGTTTGGGATACATTGGAAGGCTGAGTAATTGATTGTTTACGTTGGAACCAGTGAAAAATAACCTGGTTTATTGTCCTGGTGAAACACGACCAATTTTGTCAGAATTGCCCTTCTGATCTTCCTGATTTTCTAACGAAGGTGTATCAGTGGTTCATCCTAGTAATGCCCAATTACAGTAAGACCCTTTGAAAAGAAGTGCACTTGCAAGACATTTCATTTATTTTCCCAATTACGGAACACTTTCCTCCTTGTTGTGACTCTGACTTTTAATTTTTCAGATTAGAGTAGAGACGTTGTTTCACTGACTCCACTGTTCTTCCCATGCTGGATTGAAGTGAAACACCCACAGTTTATCATCGGTAGCGAAAAGTGACTTTAAACTCTCAGAATCTGCTTCAACTAGCGCCAAATGTCATTACACATCTCTCGTCGTGCTCTGCAGCAAAAAGCCGAGAGGTCCAATGAGCAGAGACCTTTCTCGTGTCATGCCCATTGGTAAGAATGTCGCCAGCTTGCTCCTGGGAGATGTCCATTCTTACCGCTATCTGATGAGCTCACAGTCCTGGATCCAGCATCCACACCCCTAGAGCAGGGTCAATGTTTTCGGATTTTGTCACATTCTACGGCGTTTTTGATATTTGTTCATTTTGGACGCTGTTCCTGCCCTGCTTGAAATTAGCAACTCAAACCTTAACAGTGCCATATGATGGGCCACAACCAATTAGTTTAATTTCAGGTCCTTTTTAATTTCAGATGAAGGCATGGCTTTGAAATCGCAATACTTTATAAAAGCTCGGTTCTCGATTTTCTCCCTTTTCACCGAATGCGTAATCTTCTTCACTTTAACGGGCTCTAAAAACGAAACGGAAAGGACTAGGACTTCAAAACTTGGTGTACACTCCTAAAAATAGTGGCAAAATGTGTGACCAAATTTTCATTAACCGGCGTCACCTGTAACTGTGTTAGGCTCAAAACTTTTCATTCACCCCACGTACAAGCGTACAGGCTAGCATTCCTCATTGGCTTACTTATTACAATGAAAGTGACCACGGGCTCCACCGCACCGGTGTGGTCACGGGGGCCGGACCCCCAATAATTTGACTTTCGTAATGTAGCCTTATGCATAAAGGCGTGCGTTTTAGGGTTGGACATCCCCCTCCCCCACCTGCGACTGCAGTGGAGCCCCTGAAAGTGACCAGCGCACACTGCAAAGCTGTCACAGCGATTAAGTCGACATGCCCATCCACGATCACTCCCCGTCATGCCTGCTATGCCAGCGAAACAGTCGAGGGTGCCTGCTTTGCCGGGAACATTTCTCTGAGGTGCTTGGTGATGGCGCTCTTGATACCCCTGAACTTCCTTCTGTCATGGGAAGTCCAACTGCTGCAGACCGCTGCTCCAGTGCGGTTCTTTTTGAGCGGGTTGGATGCCACACTTTGAATGGGGAGACGCCACTGCGGACTTCGAAACTCCCAAGCGGCTTTATTAAGCGGAGTACGTGGATTTATTAACCCGCGCGGGGCTGGGGTCTCCAGCCGAACGAGCGGGGCTGGGGGGGGGGGGGTAAATTTTACCCCCCCCCCCCGTTATCTCCCGAACTAATGGTCCGAGTTGGAAAATTCAAACGCCAATCGAAAGATCTCATCACGAACAACTAAAAACATGTACTTAATTTAAAAGTTGAGGTCAAGGTCAAGGTCAGGTCAAGGGTACAAATTGAAAGTTTCTACAGTATCGGCCTTGCACCGTAGTTGCCGAAGAATGGAGTCATGGACTGAGACTGATTGTCCAAAACGTGTTCTTAGGCTACCAAGACAATATTCGTTGCATACAATATCATTCAGAGGTCAAGGTCAAGGTCAGGTCAGGTCAGGTCAGGTCAGGTCAGGTCAGGTCACCAAAAACAAAATATAGAAAAGGGCATGTGCGACACATGTTTTATGCGTCATTTTATTCGTAGAATTCAATAAGCACACTCAATAGGTGATATGGACCACATCTGGATGAGTTTCAGGTCGAAGTCAGGTCAAGTGAGGTAAAATTTTGAAGTTCGTTGTTAAGGCCTAAAAAGGTGTCTATCTGATGCAATTTTTCACGGCGAATCGAAAGGTGCTATTTTTGCTTCCGTACGAGGTCTAGAACTTCCAAAAAAAAAAAATCATTAAAAAAATTGTTTGTCGTGACGTCATTAAATTTTGAATAACTCCCACATTTTTTAACCGATTCTTCTAAAAATTGGTATGTAGGTGCACAATGTGCACATGGACCACTTCTCTGACATATATTCCGGTTTTTTCGATACACGCAAAATTTTGGATTTTATAATTATTTTCGCAAAAAAGTCAGTTAAAGGGACCCTCCCACCTTAACATTAGTTTTGAGTTGAGATAGCCAAGTTTGCGGCCAGGCTCAGAAACCACCATTTATCCTGGTCGCAACCCCCGCAGCTTTATGGTGTTCAAGAAATTCCTTCCCTTTACTTGCAGGGTGGGACCAGCGTGGTCCCTATCTCTTAACCATTACGGGAATCTGATGACGTCATCAGGCTTTCGAACGTCCGTCATTAAGTTTGACTAAAACGTTTTGTAGCACGCGGTGGTATACGCTGCTTTGCGCGCAACAAATGCCGCACTTTCAAATAAAGTCGCTAGGAACAGCGGAGATCCCAAAAAGTAAACAAAAGTAAAAGTCTAATATCTTGAAAACCGGTGAATATTTTTCGATGAAATTTGGTAGATATTCGTTTTTGCTCTTTCTGAACCGAGCGACATCACTTTCATGCCAATTCATTAACTTTTTTGAAGGTGGGAGGGTCCCTTTAAATAAAATGGGCCAAAATCAAAAATTTTCAAAAAACCGAGATAGCAGTTTCATAGACAAAGTAGAATCACGTATAACCTTTTTGTTACGTCTTGATTCCCTTAAAAATGAAGATGTTAGCGACGTTTGAAATTTTGCCGTTTTTGAGGCGAAAATGGCGAACATGACGTCACTAAAACGTCATTTTCTCCCAAAAAAAAATCCGAAGGATTTCGCTCAAATTTTCAGGGAACGTGTCAAATTGATGTAAGAAAAGGTACTGAAAGTTTGGCGGCGCTGCGCGCCGCCGTTTTTGAGATATTGCAAATATTCGCGAGGGGGGTAAAATTTACCCCCCAGCCCCGCGCGGGTTAAGCGGATTTTTTAACTGCGGGTAACTATGGAGGAAATCCGTGAACAGCTCAAGCGGCCACAATAAGCGTCTGGATTCATTATCCGTGGATTTATTAAGCGGATTCCACTGTACTTTTCAAAAGCTTCATTTTAATCATAAGCGACAGAGCCGGTGTCATGACATTTTCAAAACTACCTCCGTAAAAAAAAACTGGTGCTGAAGTTAACTGGCACCGGCCACGGATGTGTCACTTATCCCGTAAGACGAATAAAAAATGACTAAGATAGACAGAACAATCAAGAAGTAAGAAGAATAAAAACTGATGAAGACTGACAAAACACATTTACAACAATAAGGAGCCAACAAATAAAATACCTAGCTGATTCAACAACCCTTTGATTTTCCGGTGGCAAATGCCTCGTTTGCAGACGAGCTCGGTCGGCCTGGAAAATATATTATTGATCTGATGACGCCAACTGCGGTATTGATCTGATGACGTCCATGCAAGAAGGGCGCCCAGGCATACTGACAACTGCGCTCTAGTCAGACTTCTCCGGATATGCATGCCTATCACTTCATAAAAAAAGTTCAGGGTCTAATGGATATGCCGTCTGGCTCAGGGTTAGCATTATTTTCGCGAATTGTGCTGCACTGGATGTCACATTATACGCAGCTGCTGAACCCGCCTCAAACAAATGATCAAATGGCATAGCTCCCACATGCAATATAATGCCAAAGCAGAAAGTAGCATACATCTGCAAGCATCAAGGATGTCTACTCTTACAGATGATTCGTCAAAGAGACTATCCGCCTTATAAATGATTCCTCCAAGACGATTCTATTCATCTAACCCCAGAGCGTACAAAAACACGGGATGCACAGCAGTTAGGAGAAGTGTCGGCGGCCGACCGACCTGAGTGCGGCTGGCCGGCCGGGTACAGCTCGTGACGCAGGCTCTCGGCCGTCTGGATGGCCGCCGTGGACGTGGCGTTCCCCATCGCTGCTCTCTCTCGGCTGAAACACGACCGGGGCGTTAGCAGTGAAGGGGAGGTACCGGGAACAGTGAGCGGACGGCATCGGCTGGTGGACTGCACCACTGTGCAAAAGGGTACCGGGGCATCGACGTGACGGTACAGGGGTACAGGTCTCGTGGGTTTTAGCGGTAGGTTTTGCACCTAGAAAATTTAGTGTACTTCAGGCTATATCTTCGTCGTTTTAAGCTTTTAAGTGTTGAAGATGCGATCGACTTGTTCGTTCACAAGCCGGCCATGATCGTGTAAAATGGCTTCATCGTAGATCCATTAGTTTCTGAGATACATCGGAAATGTAAAAGTGCAAAACCTACCGCTTAATCTCGCGAGAGCCGTACCATGGGAGATTACAGCGGTGCGGAAACCTGAAATGAAATGAAAATATGCTTCACTTGCAGGTGGAATGGCGGTGTCTCAGGCAGAGTCAATGTTACACTTTGGAGCTGGACGCTGCCGCGAAATGCTCAACACAAAAGGGCGCTCAGTGAATGCTCTTGTCACCGATCGGTAACGATAGCTACGTACATACAGCTATACACTATTTCACAATGTCACAACGCGGGAGTGGGAGCCGCGACGTGCAGCATGGTGGATTGGACAGTTGGAGAGCCCGCCTTAGCACAATCAGCTGATCCATGTGGCCGCGATGACTGACAAGACTGCTGGGACGGTGCAATGCTAAACAGATTGACCCTATTTTATTTTCTGATGAGACTAGCAAGCGTTGACAGAAGTAATAAACTAAAAGAGAGACCTTTCCAACTCTTAATTCGTTTATTGGCACCCATTACATTATCATAATTCATAACCAGCTTGACAGAAAAATCACAAAACATTAGGCGGCTATATACGATAAGTAGAATGAAAGAAAACCACATCTACAAATAACGTGTATCGAATATACATATTCCCAAACATGCACATTGCACATGTTGCATGCAATCAGACGGGTGCTAATGATTAAATCACGGATTAAATAAACACTACTTCGTTCTGTCGCTCCCATTCCCACTACCACTAAATTCCCATAATTAAGTGCAGCTAGCATACGATTCATACCATCCTGTGTTTAAAAATTGCTCGGATGCTCTTCTCATGCTATTCACAGCTAGGCCAGGTTGGATCATTAAAACATGACTATCCCCGCCAGGAAGTAGTAATGCCAGTCACAGGTAAACCGGGCAAGCCAGCTCAAGCAGTATACAGCGGCATCCCAAACATGTCAAAGTCCAAGTGAGTCGTGACTTTACACAAATCATCACTCAGTCGAGGGACACCCAACTCAGTGAGTCTTTGTTGAGTATTGGCCAAAGCATCCGATAAAGCGCATCCATCCTCCAGGTATCATAGCGGCTGTCTCCCGCCGCCGCTGTCGCTTCAACCCTCCCCGAAAATAGTAACAAGTACCGAAAACAGTTATACGTTCCTGTTGAGTTGAAAAAGCTTGCCAAACCGTGAAGCCGTACAGTCTACAGCTTTTTGGATATCAAATAATTAACCGTTTGAAATATGCACCAATACACTCATTTGCAATAGCTGTCACCTGGGACTGCAAAAATTCTTATATTGCAATAAGAGATCAGAATTTAGCTCACTAGAGGAGGCGATCGAGTGGTAACTTTACAGGGCGCACTAGAATAACACTTGACATTTATCGCTGACTGAGGAAGGCAATTGAAAAGAGCGCAAAATCATAGCATTCTGACTTGGTTTTCATTATTATTATTATTATTTCGAAGGATTATATAGCTTACATCACCCCGGTTGACGAATTTTCAGTATCACAACTCACAAGAGCATTTAACATCTCTTTCAAGCTGAGGCTTTACGCCCCCAGTTTAAAAACTAACTGCCAGCAAATCATTGTCTTACTCTCCCTCCCATCTCGAATAAGTAGCAAATAATCTAATCGTTAAAAGCTTACAAATTTACAGCACAGCCAGAGGCTGGCGAAGGAGCCAATTAACGCGATCAATCCACTTCCGCTGGTGCCTAGCTGTGCCCCAGTTCAGGCGCCATCATCCAGGTGCTCCAGGTCGTGTCCCAGGTCGGCCCGCAGCTGGCTCCAGGCGCGCTCCACCTGCTGCTGGGTGACCTCCGGCTCCCAGAGGGTGCTGATCACCACGGTGGCGGCGGCCACGCGCTCCTCGTTGGACATCTGCGCGTCGAGGCGGCGCGCGGCCGCCTGCTCGCTGATGCCGTCGCGGCGGACGGCGCGGCGGAGCGCCTCGTCTCGCGGCACCAGCGCCACCCACACCTCGTCACACAGCTGGGCGTCCCAGCCGGCCTCCAGCAGCACGGCCGCGTCCAGCACGGCCACCTGGCCGGCGCCCAGCGCCGCCAGCCGCCGCTCGGCCAGCCGCGCGATCTCGGGCCACACGCAGTCGGTGAGCCGCCGCAGCGCCGCCGGGTCGCCAAACACGTGCGCGCCCAGCCGCTGCCGGTCGATCCGGCCGTCCGCAGCCACGATGTCCTCTCCGAAGAGCTGCCGCAGCTGCGCATGGCACGGCGTGTCGGGGGCGTACGCCGCGTGTCCGAGTTTATCGCAGTCGATGACGTGCGCGCCGAGACCGGCTAGCCGACGGGCCACCGAAGACTTGCCGCTGGCGGCCGAGCCCGTCAGGCCGATGACGTAGGGACCACCGGCGCGGCGCGGCACGCCCAGTCGCGGCCGGCGGGCCGTGCCCAGCCGCCGCATGCGCAGGGTGCTGGAGCTGATCTTGGGCTCCTCGGCCGTCTGTCGGTCGGGCGCGGCCAGCAGCGGCACCGTGTACACGTCCATGGGCGGCAGCTGGCGGCGGCGGCGCTCGTCGGCCACCATCTGGGCGCCGCGCCGCGTCTCCTCGCTGACCACCAGCAGCTGCAGGTCGGCCTCGGTGGCCGTCGGCCCCAGCGGGTCCGTGATGGGCACCACGCGCGGGCGCACCGTGCAGTCCAGGTCGGCCAGCAGGTCCGTCACCAGCTGCACGCGCTCCAGACAGGGCGCCATCAGCTCCTTCAGCGTCTTCTTGTTGTTCATCTGTCCGTCGGTGACGCCGACAGTCAGCTCCTGGCGGCAGCGCATCAGGCCAGCCGTCAGCAGCACCTTGTGGCCGTTGTGGATGCCGTCGAAGGTTCCTCCGAGCGCCACCTTGTCATACACGGCGTCGGCCGCCAGCGCGTTGTCCGGCTCGGCCTGGGCGCCCAGCCAGCGGTCGGGCAGCTCGTCGGGCGCGGCGCACAGGCCGGCCGTCTCGGCGGTCAGCGGCTCGCCGGTCTGCAGCGCGATCGTCTGCAGGTGGTGGCCGCGGCGCGACACCTGTCCGGCGGCGAACTGCTCGGCGCCGGCGCACGGCCGCTCCAGCAGCAGCACGTCCACGGCGGCGGCCGTCTGGGCGCGCAGCTGGCGCCGCTTCAGGTGACTCACCAGAACGCGCACGTCCAGCTGGGGACACGCGCGCGCCGACTCGGCGTACAGCCGGCACACCACGTCCCAGTAGAGCAGCGGTCGGTAGGCGGGCAGCGCGGCGGCGGCCGCCAGCGACTGCTGGCCGGGCAGCAGCTGCACGTATAGCCGGCCGCTGACGCAGCGCGCCGCGCTGGTCAGCAGCTGCTGCAGCTGCGGCGCCAGCTGCCCCAGCGACGACGTCAGCACCAGCAGGCCGGTGGTGAACATGGTCGGCCACGCTGCGGCAGAGAGCGGCCGTCAGTAAGGCTGGCAGTGGCTCTCTGCCGAGCGACTGGCCGACCGCGCCACACACACCGACACTGCTGGCACGCGCCCAAAACCAGCCGCCACCACAACTCGACGGCAAATGACAGCTTTGCCGGTAGCTCAAGTTATTCATTGTCCAGTTCGCTTGTATAAAAAAAGAACGTGCTTACGCAATATACGTATAGGTGATATGATACGGCTAAATGTTGTGCTACTGCTCAACATGAACAGTTAGACAGCAACAGCAAACCACTAACTTCTTCCATTCTTTGCAATATCTTCAAAACTGCTGGGCACATCACCACAAAACTGAGTGCCCTGAGCTGCATCGAAAGGCCATCCCAACTAAACTGGTGGGATTCCTACCAGGGTTGGATAAAAGCCGGCTGAAATTGAATTTATGCCAGCCAGTGGTTTAAACCGGTTTAAACCGGTTTAAACCGGCTTAAATTAATAAAAACCACCTTCAGTCAAAACATCTACTATAACTTATCTTGTGGGTCAGTGTACTCGTTGGTGACTGTGCAGAGTGCAGGAAGTCAATACCTTGTCATTTGGTATTATGTCAACATTTTGGCATGTGATTATGTTGACAATCTGGTCAGTTCAGTAGGTAACTAAGCTACGAAACAAAGTAGGCATAAGGCATAAGCACATTCTAACCTTAACATTCGGTTTACCAGTTGAAAGTCTCACTTTATTTTACATGTAAAATATATTCTGACCAATCGTCTGCGGACTGGGCCAGTAACACTAGAAAAAAATATTTATCATGGTATCACCCATTCTGTGATTTTTTCTTTAATTGCACAGGAAATAATTGTAACAACTCATCATTTATAAATCTTCTGGAATGTTCCTATGGTTTGTGTTTTTTCAGGTAGTGCATGCTGTTTTCTTGGTAACAGTGTCCCTAACTATTCACACTTATTATTGTTTTTTACATGAACTTTGGAGCCTATAATGGTGGCCGTGCTGTCAATTCCTTTGTTTAGTGTCACTGACTGCTTAAGCAATAGACAGTTCCCTAGTAAATAGGCAATGTTCTGTATGATAGTTCTTAGGCCTTACCATTCACTGATCCTTGCACCATGCATTTAGCATTAGGTCATGTTTGCTACAGCTTCTCATAAAATTGAAATTGGTTTCTTTATTGAAGCTGTCTCCAAGACTTTTCATTCCATGATGATGAACCACCTATTTAAACAACTAGTTGTGTAAAACACTGCAAATCAAAATAAACTTTTGACACAGGGTGATACAGATCAATAATGAATGACATAAAGTTAACCCCCAGGAAAAACATTACAAGTTAGCATTATAATTGAAAGATGTGTATAGAAAATGTGAAGAGAAGAAGCAGTTTAACCCAAGTGATGTTACGACAAGTTAACGTAAGTGGCATTTATTATGTTGGTGCACACTGGTTTAAACCGGGGTGGCTTAAATTAGTTTATGCCAGCCGGTTTAATCCATGGATTAAACCAGTTTAAACCGGCTGCTGGCATAAATTTGCCAACCCTGATTCCTACCCTTGATCTCAATGCCGAGTTAAATTATCGGGTTAACCTGCGCCGCGCTGGAGGGAGGCGTTCTTACGCATCCCCCTCTCAGATTTTTCGCGAATGCTTCAATGCGCGCCGCTGTTTTTGCACACCTGTTCATGCGTCTTTTCTGCACATGTAAAAAGTTCAGACACAGGGCGTTTAAGGTCAGGTCACCAAACCATGCCAAGTGACCAGGGTTGTGCTCGACTCTAAAAAATTTGCCGACTCGACTCATCATTCAACTTCAGAAAGCCCTGACTCAACTCTGACTCAAACAAGGAGCTGATTTTTTCCCTTGACTCGACTCATGACTCAAGCGGCTCAATGAAAATATGAGTTGACTCAAACTTGACTCAAATATTTTGTTGAGTCAAGTGTGTTGACTCAAAATTGACTCAGATAAAAAAGTTGTTGAGCGGGGGGGGGGGGTGAAAAAATCGGCAGCATGGGGCCAGGCCTAAGTTGTTAAGCGGGGGAGAGAAAGAAAAGCTTATATATATTGTTTCTAGAAAGATGAGTCAGCTGACTCATGTTCCTAAATGTCTTTGACTCAACTCAATGTCAAAAGTTATTTTACTGACTCAACTCTGACTCAACTCAACACCTTAATATTTTTGTCCGACTCAACTCTGACTCAACTCAACAGCTCAACATTTTATCCGACTCGACTCAAACCTGACTCATTTGAGTCAGAGTTGAGTCAAATTTTTGACTCGACTCATGAGTCAAGCACAACCCTGCAAGTGACCTTACCTCAGAAAAAGTTACAATGCTAGCTGTGGCTACACCGACTGAACGATCGCTTTGAAACTTCCAGCGATTGATAAGACACATGCATGCACGATTCGGTTGTCCGGAATTTCGACATCTGTGACCTAAGGTCAGCTCAATTTTGTGAAGTCTCCATTATAAGTCAATGGGAGAAAACTGAAACGCGCCTCTTTTGGATGAACGTCGCTCCAAACACTTTCAAACGTCGGTTTATAGCCAAACATGTCCCTGGCAATTTTTTGACAATAACCTATGATAGAGACATGCTAAAGCGGTGAAAACATCTCAGATGTGTTCAGCTCGGAGAATGAATCGACTGATATGTAAAATGACCTTTTCTGGTCAGGTCATGACCTTGACCTGAGGTCAAATTTTCAAAATGACCTTTCAAGATCAAATTGTAATTCCTTCTACGCGTCTCGACGAGAGAAACAAGATCCTGGCAAAGGAAATGTGGTGACTCTCTTGAGCGTTAAAAGTTATTACAGAAAAAAAAACATTGTATCGTAAAAATAACTATTTTAGGGATTTTGCCCTAAGGAGGCTAAACCGTTGACGTTAAGTCAATTTGAGGATGCACTCTAGAAACAGCGTTAGAAGGGCTATCAAATGTGTTTTTCCGCAGTGCTCTAGCTCTATTGGTTTCCGAGTCATGCACCGTTTTTCGAAACTTGTTGAAATACAAAACTTGACCTTTGGTGACCTCTGGCGACCTGACCTTTGCTCGATTTTAAAATGACAAAAGCATTATCTTCATAAGATTTTGACGCTGGCACATGGTTGCCGAAAATGGCATGTGCTAAAAATGACAACGATTGACCAAACCTCCTCTGACTGATATAAGTGGCCTGTCCTGTAGCTCAGTTGGTAGAGCACCGGACTCCCGGTAGTGAGAGCCCGGGTTCGAGTCGCTCCGGCGCTCGATATTTGAGACTCCTGACGGGGATGGTCTGCGGTTGGTGGGAGCAACTGCAGCCAGTTGAAGTCAGTTGAGTGGGACAGGCCGTGTCCGGCTTTGAAGGGCACGTTAAACTTTGGCATCTAAATTCTCCCGTTACCCGGAATTGCGCGATCGGATGGTAGGGGTCGGGGTCTACGCAACAAGCTCTGCTTAGCGTGGGCCCCGGCTCTGTCAATCCGTCCATTCAAACATTCGAGCTAAATTTATAAAAAAGTGAGATGGTTAGGTAGATAATCTACGAAAGGCATCATTGACTGACTTTAAGTTAAAATGTGTTGTTTGCTGAGACCCTTTCAGTGCCGACTGCCGGCTGCCATCTGAGGTGTCTGGTAAATCCCGCTTCAATGCTCAATCTCATTGTGCTTGTGCTGGGCATGTAAGCATTGACTTAAAATGCTAGTTGCCAGGCGTGCAACTTATTGATACAGGCATGCATGGATGCGATACGAACAAAAATAGTCTCAAGTAAATGGTGAAGTACTTGTATGAACAGCATAACGACGTATGTTTCTTTTAACCCGCGCCCCAGTGGCGGTCTCAGCCAACTTCGCCCTAGTGGGGGGGGGGGGGGGCATATGTTACCACCCACCTCTAACTCAAAAACTAAGAGGGCTAGAAAGACGCGGTAAAAAGCAGTCGATAGCTCTCGATGCGTACGTTTGAAAGTATTTCAGTCATTTTTCATCTTAGAGCAATATTGGGGTCACCCGAGGTCATCAAAGGTCAAAATTTGCAAATTGTCATTATAATTTTCAGAAAACATGCCATTATCTCAGGAACTATGATAGCTAGAAAAACGCTTGGAAAAGCAAATGATAGCTTTTGAACACTTTTTTTGATAAAGTGATCATCAAAAATGACCTCAGGTCAACCGTTTAGCCTCCAGAGGGCAAGAACTCCAAAAATAACTGCTTTTACGAAAAGTGTTTTCGACAATAACTTTTGACTAAAAAAAGCTAGGACATTCCTATTGCCATAATCGTGTTCCTCTCGCCGAGACGCGTCGAATGAACTATAATTTGACCTTGAAAGGTCAACTTCAAAATTTGATCTCAGGTCAAGGTCATGACCTGACCGAAAAAGGTCATGTTGCATATCAGTCGATGCGTCTCGGCAAGACAAACACAATGAGGCCAACCCCAGCGTTCTATCTCTTTCCAATCGAGAGTTATTGGCAAAAAGCTGTTTGTAGCCTCAAATGACCTCGGATGACCTTTGTAGAGGCTATCAGCAAAAAGACGCCTTGGTCGTCACGGGTGGTCCAAATCATTGTGATACTGAAATATTTGGACTGTTCCTATGCGTACACACGGATCTAGAGGCATTTTCGTTTTTCTCCATTGACTTATAATGGAAAGGTCACGCCACTGACCTGACCTTAGGTCACGCATATAAAAAATCCGAGATATACAAATTGTAGGCACCCATAACATCATGCAATCCACCAAGTTTGAAACTTCTCTGACAAACACTGCAGGCTGGACATGATTGCAAACTTTTTTAGGCTTGGTCAGTTAACTAGACCTGGTGACCTGACCTGACATGACCTGGGGTAAAAAATTTCACACATTGTCCAAAATTGATGTGCAAAAAGCTACTCCAAGCGGCGGTTTTTTATTCACACGCAAAAAACGTGACAGGGTGGTAACATATATGCGAAGGGGCGAAGCTTAAAGATAACCTTATGTTCAATGATAAAGAAAAGCAAAAGGTTCCAAAATTACTAACAAAATTCAGAACCATTGAACATAAGGTTATCTTTAAAAGAAACAAAAATAGTCTCATTCAAGATTATTTCAACTATTTCATAAGGTTTGTGTGGCCAGTGGCCACTGAAGAGAAAAGCCATTTAATACCTTTAAAGGCTGACTTTCAGGTGACCGTTCCAGTTCGGCAGAAGCGGCCACGAGGCGTATTTTGCAGTCACAGCAGTGTGCGCCCCTGATTTCATATTTATCCAAACAATAAACAAAACAGCCCTCAGCAGACTGCATGGTAGATATTCTTTTTTTCAACAAAACCGATAATTACTCAACGACTATGTCAACAGTCAGTCAGAACTCACTGCAAATAGATGCACCATGCTCCACTCCTTCGATTGGGTCTGATGCTATCACTTAACAAAGTAGACGGCTTATGTGGCACCAAAATGGGTATTAGTAGAGCAGACGTCACACAAAGGTTTTCCAACCAAGGAGAGGCGCCATACATGAGAGGTGCTTCTTTCTAGGAAAACCTAAACAAACCTAACCTGACCTAACCTAACCTACAACCTACAAACCTACAGCGTCTCTCCTCGGTTGGAAAACCTTCGTGTGACGTCTGCTCTACTAATGCCCCAAAATGCAAGTTTGTTTTTCGGGTAAAAATAAACTTTTGGGTTTTGTTGCTAAACTGGATGGAAAATGAATACAATGATAATGCCAATCTAGAATGCGGTGTCTCGCGCGTCTTGCTGTTACGATTTTCAGAGATGGATAGCATAGCATTTTCGTTATTCTCGGTTTTAGTTTGTCCAAAAAAGAATACCAATACCTACCACGCAGTTTGCAGAGAGCTGTACATCTTTAAAAAACTGTTACCTACAGAATCTAATAATTTCAATTTACAACTAACCTGGAAATTATATTATTAAGAAGTGCCACAACTTGTCGCGGTCTCAAAATGCGTGCCCTCCATTTCAATTCCCTCCCCCGAGGGTCCACCGACTTCAATTACCTTGCGTTTATGAAGTCGTAGGCTCGTAGCGTTTATATCAATATAGCCTTGGTCGTAAGTCTTGGTCGGGGTTTATCATGAAAAATCTCTTGTTCGCCTTGCTCTTGTTTACGTAACGACGCTTCTGACCAACTTTTGACGCGTTACGCCGGCCCGCACTATTTTCTGAACGAATCGGCAGCTGGCGCCGTATGGTGGCGCCAGCAAAGCTTGTTATATGTCAATGCCAGACACAAATAACTAAATTTTTATCTTTTAATTTTTCTATAAGTGCCATTTTATGTGTTATTGTCCATCTACTACCGTGTTTATATCAATAACTAGCATAGCACGTCACCATCTGGCCAGCAGCTGATTTTATCCAGCGCACCGCATTTTCGGTCATTTTCGGTCATTTTCGGTCCTCTCCGTGGCCGAGTGGATAAAAGCGCCGGAGTTCGACGCTTAGCCGGAAGTGAGAGCCGGAGGGCTGTTCACGGACCCTGTGTGCGGTCGGACCGCACACAGCCTCGAAGCTCCGCCCACCGCGTCCCTACGTCAGCCTTCCGTCACCGCACACAGCGATCGCTGTGGCCGGTCGGGACTGGCCACAGCGGACCGTCCACCGCACGCAGCCGTGACGTCAGAGCCGCCTACCCATCCCCTACCCCCACGCCTGCTGGACGCACCGCACACACCGCACGCAGCAGTGTGCGGTGCCCGTGAACACCCCTCCGGTTCAAGCCCCGGTGCGGGCGGCCACATTTAGCTCCTACGTGTAATGGCGTGCTTGATGGCGTGCGTGTCTGTGGCAGGGGCCGCACAGAAGCCAGAGGGCTGTTCGGCTGCGCAGCCGAAATGAAATATGCTGCAGCACGCATGCGCAGTGAGGACTTCGTCGCCCGTTAGTCCCGCCCACACCACTGCGTCACCGCCTGTGTGACGTCACCTACTGAAGCATACTTCGTTTTCCTGCAGCACGAAATTCGGTGCTGCAGGAGGCGAAAGTGGCGCGGATTAAAGTTTACCGTCCGATATTTCTTATTGTAAGCGGTTTGTTTGCTGTTTTTTGGGTATCATTATCACTCTTTTCGGTGGCACATTGCTAATAACCACATTTGAACGCAATTTAACCTTTATTTGAGCGACAATCACCAGTCCACCCGCGCAACGGTTCGCCGCGTTTGAAATAGGCTGCAGCGACGCTCTGCCGCAGCCCCCACCGGACACGATTTGGTAGCCGAGGTCTGTGACGTCAGCCGGGCGTGAAGTTTTCCCTTCACCATAGGCTTTACACACAAACTTGCCGAAGTTCATGCCAGGATAGCCCGGCCTGAAAGTGCAAAAATGAATAAATTTTGCCCTCATTAGATTCAGTGCTTCATTTTATAACTAAAAACGTCCGTTATTAGGCCTCAATGAAGGTACAAAGTACTCAAAATCGAAATTCAAGAAGATGCTGTCCGAGCACAATCTGGTAACATCACGTGACTTCTTTTCAGCAGATTATTGATAATTTCTGGATATATTCACACGATTGCTGCCTAGAACATCATAAATAATATATTTGCAGCATTTATTACTTCCGTTTAAGTCATAACTTTGTAAAATGCAAAGTGTATCATGGTAGTCACGTGACCAAAGGTATAACAGGGGGTTGGGACAAACACTCAAAGGATTTCGAGTTTATTAATTAAATTATATAATTTTCATGGTGGAATTGAAAGATTGTATTTTTTCCTAATAGCATACAAATTTTTGTATGTAAAATATTTTCCTTACGGGTGAAATTCTCCATATAAGAAATATCAGTGACGTCACCAGGGCTTTACTCAAAACATCGGATCTACCTGTTTATTATAGGTATCTTGCTCTGCCGCGGCGTGCCGGCGACTGTGGGCGGAGCCAGGCGGTTGACGTCACCCAAGTATGACGCACGCAGCACAGATCTATGCTGCAGGGACCCGAACAGCCCTCAGGTAACGTGAGTGAGCGGAGGGGACCGTGTCCAGTCGTGAGGGCACGTTAAACGTTCGGACAAAATTCTGCCATACAACTGGAATTGCGCGATCGGGTGGTGGGGTCAGGGTCAGCACAACAAGCTATGCTTAGTGCGGACTCTGATTCCTCAAATCCGCCCATTCAGCCATTCGGACTAAATTTATAAAAAAAAAAAAAAATTTGAAGCGTATTTGGAAATTCCGACCTCGACGAGCATCTGTGGTAGAAAACCACCACTTTGGTAGGGGAAACTACTGCTGTCTGCTACCATTTGCACTGCATGTGTCGCTACTGGCGGATCCAGACACCTGTCATGGGAGGGGCATTTTAGCGAAGGGTCCCAAGGTAGGGTGCCCCTAAAACTAAAAACTCTTCGGATTTAGGCCACTATTTTTTGGGATTTGCCGAAATTTATTTTTAATTAAAAATAAAAAAATATATTCAAATTGAGCCTCTTGCCGTTTTGGCCCCCCCCAAAAAAAATCATCGGAAATATGACCGAAGTTGACATTTGTATGTACCTGGAAGGAAAATTTAACTTTTTAATTAATTGAAGTTGGTATTAAAACGATGTCTGATGCGTAAGCATCCAATTTCGACAAGATTATGGAATTCTTAGGAAATTTTTGAAATTTCGAACCTCAAAAAACGCCAAAAATAACCTATCTGGCGGGAGGGGCATACTTACATTGAATGCCCCTCCCAGATTTCTACGGGAGGGGCATTTGCCCCCAATGCCCCCCCTTGAATCCGCCAGTGTCGCTATAGCTGCGATATCTATGCGACACCGCGACATCTGTGTGCGCTGATTCTAGTTAGCGATTAGCTAGGGCACCAGGGTGTATCCAGACTTTCAGTTTGAGGGTGGGGGACTCCCGATCCCCGGCAGTCAAAGTTGCTGAGCGGGGGGGGGGGGGGAAGGAAGGTCCAATATGATGCCACAAAAGACATGCCTATTGCCTATAGGTATATACGTACACGTATGATCAGCACTCAGCAGTGTGCCTCCTGAGAAGTCTTAGTGATTTTTATCGATTCATCAAGTTGACGATTTGTTTTTCGCGGATATCCTAAAAACGGCAGCGCTCCGCGTCGGTGTTTTTTTAACTTATTTAATAACTTTTTGCTTTAACTTTACCAATACCAATACATACCAATACATACGCATACCTATACCTGTAGGCAATAGGGAAAGTTGCTGAGCGGGGGGGGGGGGGGGAAGGAAGGTCCAATATGATGCCACAAAGGCATGCCTATTACCTATAGGTAGGTACCCAGTAAACATGCCGACGTCGGCCCGACGTCGGGGTGACGTCGGCAACTCGGCATCGGCATGCCGACGTCGGCCCGACGTCGGTCCAACCTCGGCACGACGTCGGCTGGATGTCGGATATGCCCGCATGTACCGACGTCCAGCCGAGGTCCAGCCGACGTCGGGCCGACGTCGGACCAAGATCAATTGCTGAGGTCCAGCCGACGTCGGGGCGACGTCGGACCGACATCGGCCGCTGTTTTGACCGTTAAAATAATATAAAATACATGTTTCATGTTTCATAAAGAGCTTCTGTATTCAAAATATCCTCAGGAAACTCAAATCTTCCTCCACGCCGCAACCCCCTGATCCGGACTGGACGGGAAACTTTATCCCATTTGGGATTGCCCGTAAGCCGAGCTCGCCCGTAGCCGGGTGCGGTGAGTGCTTGGGGGCTGCTCGGCCTATCCTTTGGTCAGGCTCAGCCCCGGCAACTCACCAGGGCCGGGCCCAGTTCATATAGAAAGGCCAGTCGGCAAATGTCACTTTGCCAAAGTGCCACTTATCAAAGGGACACTTTGGGAAACGTTGGTGCAGGTGTGTAAGAGTGGCTATATGAATCCATTGTGGGGTCGCCCTTTCCAATAAGTGTCACGTAACAGCAAGGGGACCAGGGACTCTATATGAACTGGACCCAGGGTGCTCGCCAAGAAGACCAATGTCTCCATCCTATCATCCTTCCGGCCCTGAAATGGTCTTGTCAGACCGAAAGGACATAACTCAACAAAACAAACTAAATTCGCTATCTGGCTGCGTGGTGTAGTGGTTAGCGCACTAACCTCGCGTTCAAATGACACGGGGTTCGAATCCCATCGCCGGCTGATGCTTTTGGCGTGTTGTCCCAGTAAACATGCCGACGTCGGCGACTGGGGGGCTCGAATCCCGCCGCCGGTTGAAATTTTTGGCGCGTTGTCCCAATAAACATGCCGACGTCGGCCCCGTCGGTCCAACGACAAACGATCTCGTCAACCTCGGCAAACGACCTCGGCCCGACGTCGGCTCGACGTCGGCTGAACTTCGGCTGGACGTCGGAACATGCGGGCATATCCGACGTCCAGCCGATGTCGGGCCGAGGTTGAACCGACGTTGGGCCGACGTCGGGCCGAGCCTCGGCCCGACGTCGGGCCGACGTCGGCATGTTTACTGGGTTCCCCTACCAAAGTGGTGGTTTTCTACCACAGATGCTCGTCGAGGTCGGAATTTCCAAATACGCCTCAGCAAGACATACAGGGTGTCCCAGAATTACCCGAACATTTATTTCCTGGCTAAAAGTACGATTGCGCTCGATTCTAATGACATACAAGCATCATATTTTTATAAGCTATCCCTTAGCTATCGAGCTTGGTGACTGTGTGCTTTTGGTGACCGGTAACGACTCGGGTCAATTATTATCCAGAGTCAAGTAAGAGTAGTCCTTTTCCGTTTTCAGCTAAAGCCACTAATAGGCAACATGGTGAATCAACTCCCGTTCTCAACTTTGTAAACGGACTTTCGGCATAGTTTTTGCTGGAGATCTTCAGCAGCTTATCTGCCTTTCCACCACCATCTTTGACAAAATTTTGGAATTTGGGGTCCTTCGCCTGAAAAAATATGCGAAAACTACAGGAAAAGTAGCGAAAATCACTACAATTCATCCCAAAAACATAACATATACAACAAAAAAGTATATTGAAGCACACTTTGTGGTCTAACGAAGGTATTCTGTCATTTGAACCGCCCGAAAAAGGCGTGTGTGAACGTCAGATGGCTACAAAGCCCCAACAGCAGAGACGGCCAGGCACCCGTCGAAAATCAAATTGTGAGACATTTTGAGCCACCGTGCACTCATTCGGCTTGATATGATGGCCCAAAGACAACCGTTAGCACAGAGTACTACTGCGGTAATATTCTACCAGTACAACAACTGGATGCCCTGAACCAAATGGCCA